AAAGTTTCGACGAGTTGAGCAAGCAGCGCGCCCTGACTCAGCCATCTTCCTCACACGCCGACTCGCTCTCCAGTCTCACTTCCGTTCCCGACCACTCATCAACCCTGCAAGAGAATAAAGACTTCGTGCGTGAAGAAGTAGCTCGGCAACTGTCGTTGATTCCCTTCACGCAGCAGCCGCCGTCCTCTCGTCTGCGCTCACCACTACGCGATGTTATTGCCGAAGAGGTAGCTCAGGCTGTTGCCGTCGCTGCCCACCAGCAGCCTGTGGCCATGCCTGTTGCCCATGCGCCGGCTATGCAGCCTGTGGCCGCGCCTCTTACGTATGCATAGGTAGGTACGCAGCAGACCCCGCCAGCAGCATTTGCCACCCATGTCTTCAGTTGCTCCCCACTCCACCCCTTTTTCGACACCTTGGGCCGCACCACAAGTGAGCAATTCCTGGCGCACTCCTGACAATCGACCGATCTGCTACGCCTGCGGTACTCCAGGACACGTGGCACGATATTGTCGCCGTCGCTTCCAACCACTCCACGACGCTACTCGGCCGTTACCGTATGACCCACAACCCATGCACATACCTGCTCCCTACCCCTCACCGCAGTATGGATACACTAACCTTCCTGAGTCTCGGTCACCCCAGCCCTCACCCCAGACTCACTCTCCCCGCTCCCCATCTCCTCGCAGGCGATCACTGTCCCCAATGCGTCCTAGACCCGCTTCCTGCAACAGAAAAACTGAACGCCGCCGTTCCAGAGGCAAGAACTGCGCCGTCGTCGAAATGCTCAAGTCCTCGCACTTCACCAGCTAACGTCGTCGCCATATCTGTCGATGGTGTTTCTACCTTTGCCCTCGTCGACACAGGTGCTGCCGTTTCTGTTATAGCCGCCCAGCTCTGCCGCTCCCTACGCAAAGTGACCACGCCACTCTCTGGACTATCGCTTCGTACAGCTAGCGCACAACCAGTTCGACCTCTCGGCACCTGTACGGCCCGCGTATTCATCCAAGGCTCTATGTACGTTGTCGAGTTCATCGTCCTTTCGGTGTGCTCGTATGACGTTATCCTCGGGTGGGACTTTCTGTCAAATCATCATGCAATCATCGACTGCGCACGCGCTGAAGTTCAATTTTCGCACCTGTGTGACGAACCTTTGCACGAAACCCTTGAGCGGTCGCCAAAACTTGTCGTGCGTGAGGACACTGAAATTCCGCCAGCCTCTCTTTCCGTTGTCCCGGTTTTCTGCGATGACTATAACGATGCTACGGTAATGTTTACACTTTCCGAGATTTTCATGAGCCGCAGAGCCGTTTCTTTGCCTTTCGCTACACTTGACGTCACTGCTGGCCGAAGCAATATTTCCGTCCACAACCCCCTTTCTGCACCGCTTACGCTACTTGCCAGGCGAATGTCTCGGTCGAGTGGATTACCTTGATTCTTCTTTATTCCTTAACATGCCAGACGAATCGTGCAGTAGCACCTCTACCGAACTTCATGCCCTTTCTCCCACTGGAATGCTCGTCGAGTGACACCTTCTCGGGTTCCATCGCCGACACCTTAACTGCTCAAGAACGCGCTGAGCTTCTTAATCTCCTCCAGCACTTCGCGAATTCATTCGATGTTTCTCAGCCGCAATTGGGTCGTACTTCAGCAGTGCACCACTAAAGTGGCACCGGTTCACACCAGCCATTGCGTCAGAGACCGTACCGTGTCTCTGCTGCAGAACGTCACGTCATCAACGACCAGGTCGAAGAGATGCTACGTCGTCGCGTTATTCAACCATCGCACAGTCCTTGGGCATCTCCTGTCGTTCTAGTTCGAAAGAAGGATGGATCAATTTGGTTTTGCGTCGACTACCGGCAATTAAACAAGGTGACGCGGAAAGACGTCTATTCATTACCGCGCATTGACGACGCCCTTGACAGCCTCCAAGAGCCGAATTCTTCTCCTCCTTAGACTTACGATCTGGATACTGGCAGGTCCCTATGGCAGGCGCTGATCGCCAGAAAACTGCGTTCATTACACCAGATGGCCTGTATGAATTTAACGTAATGCCATTTCGGCCTTGTAATGCCCCTGCCACGTTTGAAAGACTCATGGACAACACACTGTGTGGACTGAAGTGGTCTGTGTGGCTATGCTACCTCGACGACATTGTCGTTTTCTCTCCCGATTTTCCTACACATCTGCTTCGGCTCCAACTGGTTCTGACGTGTTTAACCAACGCTGGGCTCCAACTGAACCTCAAAAAGTGCCGCTTCGCTGCGCGAGAGCTGTCCATCTTAGGGCACATCCTGTCCAAGTATACCCGACCCTGCAAAACTGCGAGCAGTCGCCGAGTTCCAGAAACCTACTACACTGAAAGAATTACGCAGTTTCATCAGACTATGCTCGTACTTCCGGCGCTTCGTTCGAAATTTTGCGTCGATCATGTCACCACTGACCAACCTCCTACGCGGTGACGCACACCTTTCATCCTGGTCTCCTGACTGCGACGTCGCGTTCGCCACGCTCCGTAGTCTGCTAACATCTCCTCCCATTCTATGGCATTTCGACCCAACAGCTGCAACGGAAGTTCACACAGACGCTAGCGGGGTTGGTCTTGGCGCTGTCCTCGCCCAGCGCAAGCCGGGTTACTCCGAATACGTCGTCGCTTATGCGAGTCACACGCTCACTAAAGCTGAGGCCAATTACAGCGTCACTGAAAAAGAGTGCTTAGCGCTAGTGTGGGCGCTTCGCAAATTCCGCCCTTATTTGTACGGTCGCCCATTCGACCTGGTAACGGACCACCATGCACTTGGTTGGCTCGCCACATTGAAAGATCCTTCTGGCTGCCTAGCTCGGTGGGCACTGCAAATCCAGGAGTACGACATTCGCGTGATCTATCGCAGCGGACGCAAGCATTCTGACGCCGACGCCCTGTCCCGTTCGCCTTTATCTCCCGACTCGGCCTGCGGAACCACTGGTACCAACTCCGTCGCATTTCTCGACCTCGACTCGTTTGCCAGTGAACAACTCAAGGACACATGGATCGCTTCCCTTTTTGACTGTCTCTCTGGATCGTCAACCGCTGCGGTATCACGATCTCTCCGTCGTCAAGCTACTCATTTCGCCATTCGTGATCGGCTGATATACCGACGCAACTACGCCCCTGAAGGTCGTAAGTGACTCTTGGTTGTCCCCCGCAGCTTGCGATCACAAATATGCACCACCTTTCACGACGATCCCCAATGTGGCCATGCTGGAGTTTTCAAAACTTATGAACGCATTCGCCGTCGCTTCTACTGGCACGGAATGTATAATTTTGTTCGAAAATTCGTTATGGGCTGCCCTGACTGTCAACGCCGCAAACCACCGCCTTTTCACTCGTCCGGTGCACTTCAACCGCTTCCGTGCCCTGCCAAACCTTTCGATCGAATCGGAATTGATCCCTATGGCCTTCTACCGACAACATCAGATGAAAATCGGTGGATCATAGTCGCTGTGGATTATTTAGCACGCTACGCTGAGACCGCCGCTCTTCCAAGTGCCACTGCGCAGGACGTAGCGTCCTTCGTCCTCCATCGATTCATACTACGACATGGTGCTCCTCGAGGACTACTAAGTGACCGAGGACGAGACTTCCTATCAGAAGTCGTCACGGCTCTGCTTTCTGAATGCCATGTTGTTCATCGCAAGACCACGGCATACCATTCGCAGACTAACGGGCTCACGGAGAGATTTAACCGCACACTCGGCGATATGCTCGCGATGTATGTGACATGTGATCATACTAACTGGGATCGCATTCTTCCATTCATCACGTTCGCATACAACACCGCAGCCCAGTCAACCACTGGATTTTCACCTTTTTTCCCCTTTATAGACGCGAACCATCCCACACCACCGACACTCTCCTTCCATACCGTCCTGACGCATCCGAATGCCCATCTGTGTCCGAAGCTGCCCGAAAAGCGGAAGAGTGCCGTGAACTCGCACGCACCTTTACGTCACAAGAACAACAGCGCCAGAAAGAAAACAACGCCGGCTCTTCACGAAGCCACAGCTATTCCCCGGGATCATTTGTATGGCTGGCTGTTCCTTACCAAACCCCCGGCCTTTCCTCAAAACTAGTCCCGAAGTACGAGGGTCCTTACCGCGTTTTGGAGCAAACCTCACCGTTGAATTTTGTCATTGAGCCACTTTCCCCATCTGACGACATGCGCCGGCGTGGACGGGACATCGTCCACGTCGCCTGCCTTAAGCCATATTATAGCCCTCTGCCTCCAGACTCTTAGGTCGCCAGGATGGCTCTTTTTCGGCGGGGGAAAATTGTGAAGAAGAAAACGCATCGTTGGCAAGCAACTTCGCCTCCGCTTGGGTACTGGGTCCTGGGCTCGCTCGGCTCGTGCTGATCATCGCCGGCATCTGCTTTACCCTTGCTCTTTCCCGATCGTGTTTCATCGTAGGACCACCGTCGCAACAGTCGCCAATAAACCCTTTTTCAATATATATATATATATATATATATATATATAGCCCATATATTATTACGTAAAAATCCATATATTATTTTATTAAATTGTTAGCCACATCCACATTTTTGTCGTACTCTCGAACTGTTTCTAATGGTCGATTCAGCCGTGTACTATTATATAAGCCTTCGTTATTGACTGAGAAAGCATAATTATTGCTAAGGGCCTCGTGTTGTGCCATAAAGACAGTATACAATTCGTTTTGCATGCCTGGTGCAGAACGGATGATGCAGTCAATATGCAAAGCTTTAATTTTTTTGTTCTAAAAACCTAAAGAACTGCCTTCGCTTAATGCCTGCTATTTTTTTATTCAAGGAGAAAATATGCTTTATAAGGCAATGTACTAAATAAAATGTTTCCAGTTTTTGCTACTCTAGTGTAGCATCTCGGTCTCGCTCAAGAACGCTACCGCCTAGCATAATTCATGACACGCTATTGCTGTTCTGATGCACAGTTTCACATTTGCAAAAAGGAGGCAATGGTACTCACCCCAAGTCCCATTGATTCCCGGCCGTTGAGGAGGGAAGCCCCATCCTGAAAATAAGTTAAATCGAATTTGGTTGCTTCACTGTATAACAATGATTCTTTAGCAAGCCCGCAGCATCCCCACCATGTTGCAGTTGCATGAGTGTTTTGTTGCATAAACCATTTTAGTGCTTTACAGAAACACACAAGTACTTAAAATGGCGGAAATAACACTTACCGGGGCCACCAGCTCCTCCAACGCCACCGACTCCCCCAACACCGCCAACGCCACCAACTCCTCCGATCCCTCCAACACCACCAGCAATCCCAGCGCCACCAGCGCCACCTGTATGTGGAAAAGAATGTTAATAAGACAGAACATGGCCGTCCACAAAACGCCTAAGTCGCGGCCACGTGCGCCCGATCCAGGCGGCCGTGGACAGAATTATCAGCATGTAAAAGCATGCAGCACGTTTTTAAGATATCAAAGAACTATTTCAGTACTGTACTCTTTTGCCCTAGGAACAGAGTGCTGTTTAAGGAATGTGCGAACACTCGAGGAAGAAAATTATGAGAGCGATGAACAAACCGTAGAGGTGGACATTGGGAGGTTACGCGAAGTTGGGCAAGCTGAAATTAGAGTACTGCATAATTAACGTTACATTACAAAATTCATCTTTAACTTAACTTACCTCTTAAAAATATTAATCATAAAGTCAGTCTGTATGATCCACCCGACTCTTGGCCGATCTCCCTGAGTGGGTATGGGTGCCGATATTCCAAGGAGCAGCATTATCATAATCATCGTCATCATGATCACATCGAACATATTGAAAATAACGCTACACGCGTTGTTGGGACGATAAGTTGACTTCTGCGGCTCCATCCCGGTCTACGTAGACACACGCTGATCATGATGTACCGCGTGTATGTTCAAGCGATTCTTGAATTTGGCTGTGCATACAAGATAAACAAACCCCTTTATTCTTTTAGAGCGGGAAGCTCTTCACAGTTGTTTAAGTGTGCCAAAATTTACAGCTAACAATGTTTTCTGTGGAGAAACCCTCTGTTGCTAGCAGATTCTGTATTTTAACAATTAAAACGTATTTAGACTTTTCTGAATCCACTTTAAGAAGACAGCAGTTCGTATTTTTTGCAGAACCCAGTATTTTTTTAAGCATTGGTCCCGTGTATATAAAACTCAGTTTTGCCTGTTCAAATTCTATACGTTGATGTAAACGTATGTTGCATACACGCGACGATACTTATGCATGATTGGACAAAAGGAAAATCCTAACTGCAACTTATGTAGCACGCCCGAAACTGTTAATCACATCCAGTGTGTGTGCCCTTTATACGCAGTTGAAAGACAATCTCTCAAGTTCTTCACAATTGACCTAGATTGCCAACTCTTTTCAGAAGAGAAACTTTTGGGTGCTTGGGAACGTGTGGATCACGCCCAACGCAGTTTAAAGGGTCCGCTCGCCTTTCTAAGCAAGACAGGTTTAAATTCCCGTCTTTAGAGAATCAGCTAATGTAGAGACTTTAGTGCGTGTACTACAGCGAACGAGACATTGTGTGCAGTGTCTCATTGTGCTATGTCACAATCACCTCTCATCACACCCTCCCCATTATTCCCCTTTTCCCCTTACCCCAGTGAGGAGTTGCAGGCCAGAAACCTGCTTTCAAGGCTGACCTCTCACCATTCTTCTCATTAAACACCTTATTCTTCTGCTTCCTATTCAAGATCGGTGCATTGAGTGCGTTTCGCAATGCGTTAATCCCAGTGCTTGTTTTCTAACCACAGGCGGTCACAGACGTTGCAGCCGAAGCCAATGTGCCACTGGAAAAACTTCCACCGAGAACGGCATTCACCCTGGTGAACGTGCTTCCACAATCATCACATTGGTGGTGGTGGTGGTTAGAAGAAGAGAAAGGCACTTAATTTCTGCAGCCCGGTCGGGAGCACGGTGCAGTGCGTGACCATCACATTGATGCCGTAACGCCGCGTTATTGCAAGCGTCTGACAGCGCGAGCCAACTCGGTCAGGAGGTTTCAGAGAAACTGATGCGTGCAGGCTGGACCCCACTGCTGTGACCACGTCACTCAGAACGCAACCAATGGAGCTCGTGCTTGGGAACGACGCTGAGGTCGACGTAGCTGATAGAGCGGCCAATGGGGACCGCTCATGACACCACTACCGAACGGATTTTCGTTTCTTCTAGCCATATACAGCTTCCTCCGGCTTTTCCAGTAGCAAATGTTCACTTTCCATCTGGCGTACACGACACTCGGCCTTTGGATACCCTAATTTCCACGTGTGGACTCCAAAGCACTGTTTTGCCCCGCCGCGGTGGTCTAGTGGCTAAGCTACTCGGCTGCTGACCAGCAGGTCGCGGGATCGAATCCCGGCTGCGGCGGCTGCATTTTCGACGGAGGCAAAAATACTGTAGGCCCGTGTGTTCAGATTTGGGTGCACGTTAAAGAACCCCAGGAGGTCGAAATTTCCGGAGCCCTCCACTACGGCGTCTTCCATAATCATATGGTGGTTTTGGGACGCTAAACCTCACATATCAATCAATCAATCAATCAATCAATCAATCAATCAATCAATCAATCAATCAATGAATCAATCAATCAATCAATCAATCATTCAATCAATCAATCACGTGTGGAGGTAATATTTTATTAGCAGGGGACTTTAGCGCCCATCATGTTACCTGTGGATAAAAACTGATGCATATGGCAGCCGTTTGTGAGATATGGCCCTAGATGATGATTCACATGTTTCAATTTGGGAAGCCCAACATACGTGTGGGGTCCATCTTCAGCGCTGGATTTAGCTTTTAGGGGCGAAGCTCCTTAAGGCTTCACCCGATCGTCCTTTGTATACTAACCACCTCTCTCGAATATGTGCCACCGGGGAGTTTAGTTCTCGGAATATCCGGTAGATGGTAGTACTTGTGTATAATCAATACATGATGAAAAGATGCGAGATGGTGGTACTTGGAGCGTTCACTAGACGGACGGACATAGAGACAGACAGACATACAGCCGCACGGACGGACAGATCAACCCACGGTTGGACGGACGGAAGAATGCACGAACGAACGGAGTACGCTTCGCCCCACTGATCATCGTTCAGTCCGTGGATATGCTGTGGTATTTTACAAGCTCCAACCTTAATGTTTCGTCTTCGTGAGTGGTTGATCGTGCTACAAATAGTGAACGCTTACCGATTACTTTTTAAATGAAAAATTTGGTAGCCCCCTCACTCTCTAACACTCGTAGGTTTATAAATTACCCGAAATTTAAAGATTCCTCACTTTCTTCGCTGGCTTCTCTATGAACAAAAGGAGGAAGTTGAAGGCTATGAGCATGTGTTCTGTTTTAAATTATTCCCGCGAAAGATCTGAGTTTGTGCTCTCGTCAGTTAAACAAATATCTAATTCTCCTTGGTGGAATGATGATAGGCCAAGAGACTTTAACCACATGAAGGCAGCCTGAAAAGAGCGACTATATAATCAGTGCCCCCAATATTGTAAGGACCACCAGTCGTTAGCCGTGCTTTAAAAGGAGCAGTTTCCAAGGCAAAAGAAGATTGCTACAGTCAGACATTCGAATATCTTTCTAAATCTCACAATAAAATCAAATTAATCAGGTCTGACAGACAATCATACCAAGCAAGGTATCTTTAGAAGTAATTGCAATGTAAACGTGTAAAAATAACAGTGAACGACAATTTGCTATGGGCAGGGTACGAACCTGCAACCTTTGAATAACTTGTCTGATACTCTACCAACTAAGCTACCAACGGCGACTATCTCCACGTCTACTTTATGAACTACATAAGGGCATCAATTATGGGAGCATCAACCACTGCCGCCGAGAGCCATGACGGCGAGTCATTGCTACTGGCGGCGCTGACTGATTCATGGACCCATTATACAAAGAGTATTTGGGTAAAGCTTCATGATACTGCAGTACTTAGGACGTACCATTGCGTTCAACTGTACAGAAAAGTAGAATCATCTGCACTCACCAGCGCCGCCTGTTAAGCCCGGGAGTTGAGTGCCATTACCGAAACCTGCAAAGATGAAAAGAAGAGAAGTTACTGCATGTATACGTAATTCGGCGAATGCTGTCTATAGAAAAAAAAATATGTTAGCCGATTTGCACGTGATGGGCCTATATGCATGTGGACAAAACATCGGTTGACTATGATAACGGGAAACGATATATACGAGAAGCGAAAATAGTGACAGAGTATTCAGTCGGGAAAAACAGTCAGGTTAACGAATTTGATAACAACGGTTAAACTATACATGACGTCCTTCATTACTCTCGATACTGGTGAAATCTCATTGCACACTTCAATGAAGGTGTAGGGAATACGAGACGGAAATGGCAGAGGACAGGATACAGACAAAGATAGCGATTAATTCCCCTCAAAGAATTATTGAGGAGTGTACTCGAGAAAGTATGAGACGAACGCCAAAAAATGGAATGTGATGGCGAGAAAAATAGCTCTGGATAGTCTGTCGAAAGTGGGCGAGTTGAAAACTAAAAGCGACGCGTTGTAGTATATGCATAGATATGATACCTAAGACATCTACTCACAAGAGAGCTTAACCACAGGAAATAAATTCTCCGATGAATAAGAACGGGTTCCGGTGCATACGGTAGGCAGTCTCGAAAAAAACGCAGCTGATCTTTTTTTTCTGGGAGTTAGTATAACACGAAACTGAAACACGTCTTCACAGAGGCACTTGAGTGTTTATTGTGCATAATTTCGCCGGAGAATAAATGCTACAACAACAGATCGCAAAGACATGTGAAGAACGGCAAGCCACTGGAAAATTGCGGCGCGCACCTCAAGCAGAAAGGACGCACGAAATGAGCATACACAGGACGATCGCGGACTAATAACTGTCTCAATTCGACACTGAAGGAACGCTGTTCAAACATGAAGAAAGACGCATGAAACAAACGCACTAGTATATCCAGGACAAGCACCACGATTCAACTGTCACAATGCTTACTTGTTAGTGTGTGAGCAGCGTACTCATTTCGTAAACACGGCCGCGGCAGCAAGACAACTGACCTTTAATCCCTCCCGAATCACAAGTAAGATAAGCGCCCGTAGAAACACCATGCTTCGTGGAGGCGGCGCTTACCAAAACGTGACAGGCGACGACTTTAAGAGCGCTCCCAATGCAGCCAACGCCAAAGTTCGTTAATATAGAGAAAACCTTAGTGTGTCTTGGCTCCACCACGGTGGTCTAGTGGCTAAGGTACTCGACTGCTGACCTGCAGGTCGCGGGATTGAATCCCGGCTGCGGCGGCTGCATTTCCGATGGAGGCGGAAGTGTTGTAGGCCCGTGTGCTCAGATTTGAGTGCACGTTAAAGAACCCTAGGGGGTAGAAATTTCCGGAGCTCTCCACTACGGCGCCTCTCATAATCATATGGTGGTTTTGGGACGTTACACCCCACACATCAATAAATGAATTAGTGTTAAATGATGGATGATTGGTTATGATGATGATGATTGTTAATGGAGTAATGAGCCCAGCGTGCACTTACCACGCTGGTTCACCTTTGCTTGCCTTTGGGGAGTAACTTGTGGTCTGACGTAATCTCGAGCATTCATTGTAAAAACACACAGGTAGGTTTTATTGAAACGTAGCATATAAAGTAAACAATGGGGCGATTTACATTTCGCGTTCGTTACTGTAAATATCAAAGATAACATTCGTTAGTGTACTACTCCGGAATCCCGCGTCACTCTAATATTGCTTGCTGAGTCGGAGGAGATATGTACGGGATATTTATTCAACTGCTAAAGAAGCATAGTAGGACGAAAATCAATTTTTAAGTATTTGAAATGTTGTAGAAGTCCTACACCAGCGTTTGACGTGGATGCACCCACGTTGAAGCCTGTTCGCTCCTCTCAATCCCTGCTACCAACGTCAATGATCATGCTTTAACTGTTTTAACATTGGGTAAGGGACACCAACTAATGAGTTCGATTTAAGTAACAGCTTATCCTTTACTTTAAAATAAAAAAAAAATCTGGCTTTTTGGGTCCAACTCAGACCCCTTTTCAGGGGTGGCTGAGGGGCATCAGGAACCATAGAGTTTCAAACGCCTTCTACTCAAGTCGAGGGGCCACGTCGCTTTTTTCACCGGCGTGTCATAGTTGGTGACAAAAATTGAGATAAATATTAATAGGTTTGAAATCGGGAAAGTTCGGTTGAGGAAACCATTGCGGAGTGTGTGTTCGAAGTAGCTCCGAATTGTTTTGGCGACTTCTCGTCTTATCTACTCAACTTTAGCGTTACCGTCAACTTTATGTCCGCGGCTTACGTTTATACCAAATATCTTTCACATAACAACGCAGTAACACTCATACGCCAGCAGAATATCAATTGAACAGATGCATCAGTTACGGAAGAAGGAAGTGCTCGATCTTCCTTCTATTCCTTTTTGTAAGAAGGTCTTGTTAAAACTTTTTCTTTCAAGTCATCACTTTCTATGAAAAATGTCTTTAGTGGATAGCATCCTTAAACTCGTATTTAAAGATGATATCAAAATCACCATGTGAAGCCCCGATTTTGCGAGGTATCGGTGTTAAAAAGCATCGGCACTTCAGACAAAAAGGGTATTAGCACGCTGACGGACTCATGAATGGACTCGCTCTGGCTCCTTAAGTGAGGGATATTCTGATGAGGTCGAGTGTGAGTGAACCCGATCGAGGAATGTTTTAATGAGTGTGAATTCGAGTGAGACCGCTTAAGGAAAACAATTATGAGTGTGAGACCGAGTTAGCCCTTATGGATAGATATGTTACACGACTGAGTCTGAGTGAGCTCCAAAGTTTCTGCCGACCTATGGACGTTATATTAACGTGAAAAATATTCAGATAATACTACATTTTACATTATGCACGTAGAAGATGCAGAAAAACAATGTGGCAATCATTTTGAGCCATAGAAGAAAAAGAAATAATGCGAATGTTTACTTTCAAGTGTAAGAAGTTTTCCTTTTTATGCTTTGCTAACAAGATTTAAAGGCACGTGTTTATGTAACACTGAAACACTGATATCGATTTCATTAATGAGGACTGAATACCTTTACCTGAACCCCCGATTAGTCCTGGTAGGCCGATAGTGACGCCACTAAGAGATCCTCCAGCACTACCTGAACGAGAAAAAATATTCATGTTGTAGTGGAGCATACGCACCAACGCGTATGCGCCTTCGGAAGACAACGAGAAGCCCGTGCTCTGATTGCGCGAGAACCTGTGCCGCCTTTGCCAGACTTGCTGTTCGCCCATTTTCCGTCGCGACCTCGTTGCGACTCCTCTGTTCTAATAAACATCATCACATTTGGTGGAGGCTGCTGAGATCCCCAAGCAGACCTGGAGCTCCGCTCTCGCAAGTTGGCCGAAAGACTACCGTACAACATGACCGACGCAGTCGCCAACCAGCCCATCCCAGCACAGCCAGCACCATCGGCTGCCCCGTCGACCTGCCCCGGTGCTACCCGTCAGCGGGACCCACCAATCTTCAGCGGCAGTGGTGAGCAGGACGTCGAAGACTGGCTCTCCTTGTACGAACGCGTGAGTGCCAGCAACAAATGGGACAACGACTCCAAGCTTGCCTATGTCATCTTTTACTTGGCTGACGTCGCCAAGCTATGGTTCACCAACCGCGAAACCGCCATCGCCAGCTGGTCCACCTTCAAGACCCTCGTGACCGAAGCGTTCGGCCGACCAGAGGTCCGCAAGCTCCGCGCTGACCAGCGTCTGCGCCACCGAGCCCAGCAACCTGGTGAGACCTTTACTAGCTATATTGAGGATGTGCTTGACCTCTGCAGGCGTGTTAACTGATCCATGCCTGAAGAAGAGAAAATTCGACATATTCTCAAAGGCATCGAGGATGGCGCATTCCAGATGTTGCTGGCGAAGAGCCCGACCACGGTGGCAGTCCTCGTAAGCCTGTGCCAGAGCTTCGATGAATTGCGTCGTCAGCGTTCCATCGCCCGACAGAGTGTTCCATCACCAGATTCGATCTCGGCCGTCGCACTCGCCAATGGCAACGTTCACCAAGGAACTCTGTCGAACCAGATTAAAGACTTCATCAGGGAGGAAGTCGCCCGACAGCTTTCCCTGCTGCCGCATAGTGACGCGCCCACGACAAGCCTCCCTTCGAATATGCAGCAGGCCATACGCACTGAAATTTGCAATGCACTCCCTACAGTTCCGGCCTCTTACCCGTGCACTTCGGTGCCATCTGATCTCTCAACTGCTGGCTACGCACCAACTGCGCCGCCTTCACCTCTCAGCTACGCAGCTGTGGTCGCGCGGCCCCCACCGCATCCAGTCGCCTTATCGGCTCCACCTCCTCCGGCCTCGCCTCCAGTCTACAGGCCCCCACCTCGCTTTTTCCGTCCATCTAATGAGTGGCGCACCCGAGACAATCGTCCCATCTGCTTCGCGTGTGGCATCGCTGGCCACATTGCACGCTTCTGCCGCCGCCGTCCCACGCCTGCGCACGCATACTTCGGAGCTCCTACCTACGCACCGCAGCAGACCACCACGTCTGCATATGAACAGAGGCACTCCGACTCGGATCACCACCCATCGACTGCTCGTTTCCCATCACCTCGTCGCCGATCGCCATCGCCTATGCGTCGTCGACCACTTCTCGAGGAGGGAAACTAATCAGTGCAGTTCCGGAGGCAAGAACTGCAACTTGTGCGCAATTCCCAAGGCCTCCATTTTCGCCGCAAAATGTTGTTGATGTCGATGTTGAGGGAGTCGCCACATTAGCGTTAATTGATACCGGTGCCGCCGTTTCTGTGATGAACGCAAACTTTTGTAGGAAACTGAAGAAAGTGACCACATCTCTCAGTGGCTTGGTGCTGTCCACGGCTAGCGCGCAACGCATTCATCCCTCGGCTGTGTGTACGGCGCGCGTCGTCATCCGAGACGTTTTGTACGTCGTACAGTTTTTTGTTCTACCATCTTGCTCTCATGACCTTATCCTGGATTGGGATTTCTTATCACGTCATGAAGCTATCATCGATTGTTCCCGTGCCGAAGTGTCCCTTGTGCCAACATGTGAATTTCCACCTCCTGACCGCTCTCCTCTGCTCTGCAAAGTCATCGCTGATGACGACATCACCTTGCCTCCTGAAGCTTCAGTCCCTATTAGCCTTTCATGTCTGGCGCAACCTGACGGCACGGTGGTGTTTACGCCATCTCCGGTTTTTACTGAACGCAAGGGCATCGTTCTCCCATTTGCTGTTCTTACAATTGCGTCTGGTTTAACCGTAATGCTGGTCACCAACCACTGCAACTACCCCATTGGCTTACTTCGTGGTGAAACGTTAGGATATGTGCAACCTGTCGACCATATCGATGATATTATTCTTCCCGACGAAACGCCATGTCACATTGCTGCAATCACTCATGCGTCTGAGCCATCAAGTTCGTCAGCCTTCGACAATCCTATTGACGCAGACCTTCCCCTCTCGCATCGCCGCCAACTTGTTGCTCTCCTTAACAAGTTTCGTTCTTTTTTCGACTTTCAAGAACCTCCTTTGGGCCGCACCACGACTATCACTCATACTATTGACACCGGCTCACATTCGCCTCTGCGACAGCGTCCTTACCGCGTTTCCGCCGAAGAGCGCCGCGTCATTACGGAGCAAGTAGATGACATGCTTAAACGTGGAGTCATACAGCCTTCTCAAAGCGCTTGGTCATCACCTGTGGTTCTGGTCAAGAAAAAAGATGGCACCGTACGATTTTGCGTGGACTATCGCCGCTTGAACAATATTACGAAAAAAGATGTCTACCCGCTACCACGAATAGACGATGCTCTTGACTGTTTACAAGGCGCCGAGTACTTTACATCTTTGGATCTGCGTTGTGGGTATTGGCGATGATGCGATGATGTTTATTAGAACAGAGGAGTCGCAACGAGGTCGCGACGGAAAATGGGCGAACAGCAAGTCTGGCAAAGGCGGCACAGGTTCTCTTGCAATCAGAGCACGGGCTTCTCGTTGTCTTCCGAAGGCGCATACGCGTTGGTGCGTATGCTCCACTACAATATGCTCACAAGCACCACGGAAACATTGGCCAAAACGATTTGCAGCGTACGCTTAGGGAAAGGATATTTCAGTAGTCAATTTTTTGGCGTTTCGAAAGCTCTATGAAACATCTGACGTAGGCATTTACGTTAATGTCCCGACCAAAGTGAGTGTCACATGTAATTTTAAACATCACACTGTGTCAATGCTCAACTAAAACACCTTCCTAAATAAATCTGATGTTCTGCATAGCTCTATGAAAGAACTGTCCTAAAACTCCACAAAATGGTGGAAGAGTGACATGACGCTGACGTAAGCATAATTGTCTGCCAGTTGCAAAAGCCCTCGTCATGTTCATAAGTTGATTAAATTTATGTTGGAAGGTTCTCAAGAGGTAGTTAAAACTAGCTGTTATTTGAAAAAAAAAAAAAACTCTCCGCAACGAAGTTCAGGTCAGATAAACTCGCCCGAGAGGATATTTTATAGAACTAACAAATGTCGAATATTTTAAGTTGCCTAACGCAAACCATTTATTAGGTAAGGTTGCGCGCTGAACACTGATACAAAAGTCTACTTATTGGTCTTGCCGGAATGACGTCTCTTCAGATAGGGCGTAGACTACTGAAGTTTAGAAATGTATAATGTGCTCTTTAGACATCACAAAAACAATGTCAGCATTAGCAAAAGAATAAAAAGAAGACCATGTTATGCAAAAAAATAAAATAGCTGGTCTTCAAGTCACATAATAGAACTAAAAAATATTGTAGGTACACCACTCGAATGGTACTTCACCATTCAGTACACGCTTCGGTATTGCAATAGAACAACACTATGGCAAGTATTGAAAAACTACCACGAGATGCTGATTTTCGTTGAGAGAAACATATTTGTCGGGACATACAAGAAACAATGAATAATTTCGTTAGAAAGTAGGTGTTGCAGTAATTTTTTTCACAGTCGCAATACTCAACTGCATCATTTTGCATATTACCTCCTACTTTTGGTGTTGCTACCTTTATATTTGCCGTATATAAGTGTTTGTGGGCAACAGCAATATTATATTAAAAATATCTATTATAAATTTTATTAACAATAAGTTGTAAGCCTCAACGGAATGATTTAGGTAACCCACTCAGATGGTCGCAATAATGGTACTGTACACCTTTCTGTCATTAAAACTATAGTGCCAGCAATCAATTTTACTGATGAAAGTATCACACACAAGATGAGTTTTAGTTAAGTGCCTCAAAAACTACCACTAAGTGAGTATACTAATATTTAGTGATGTCCTTTTCTACAAAGTTGGTCGCCTTCTCTTTTCAATTAGTTCATCCATTCCAGGGATAGCATTAAAGCGCATGTTTCACGGTGTTTTAGCATTGATGTATTTTTTGTAAACAACCAAAACTTTGGAATTTGCGATAATTAACCAGATCCAACGGGACTACCAAACTACCCACCTCCTGCTCCACCCAGGCTACCGGAAATGCCAGCTCCACCATTCGCGCCACCATTAAGAACTAGACAAAACAAAAGAAATAAGCATATCTTGAAAGCAGATTATACAACATATATCTACGAATTGAAGCTGTCTGGTGATTATTCAGGTATCATAGTTTTGTGTTTGGAAACAGAGCTTAAACACTTGTCTGCCACGGTTACACAAGACAGCTCGCGAAGAAAAATCTAGTTCAATTCGCAACAACAGTAAATCACACCTTGTCTTGATTCTGCAAATGGTGATTAAAGAAAGTCAATAAGCTCGTTTGCTTTTAGAAAAACGAAAAAAACTAGCAAATCTGTAAGATTGCAAGCTTAAGCTGGCAGCGCTTAAACAAAGATATGAGTGAAAAACAGATACGTGAGGTAAGTGCTATCACTCCCCTGGCAAAGATCAGAAAGTCACATCATCCACCAAGAACGTCTCAACTAGCTCGGCCAACGATAAGAAATGAGTATCTTTAATTACGTTCTTGTTTCAACCGATTTCTAGAGTTGAATTGTGGTATCTTCAATTATGTCCGCTTTTAGCAAACTTCTAGAGTTGCATTAAAAGGGCAAGTGCTGTCGGCTTTCATCAGAGAACATCTTTGATTGGACGCAACTGTACACAGTACACGGCTCATAAATTACCAGTAGTACAAGAATTTCAATATGATACCAGTGATCTAGCTAGGACAAAGCTAGCAGGGAGATAATGGAAGCGATAACTGCACAAAATGGCGTTAATTCTCGGAAACGAAGAACCTTCTCAGAAGCCAAAGGAAAAAAATGTACGGCGATGTCACCTCGGGCGACAAAGGTTCTGTTCCAGCGTTATTAACACAGAAAGGTATGTTAGGTAAAGAAGCAATCAAACATGCAGGTCTGTGACACGGATTGTCACGTAAACAACTCGGTAATCCCAGTTACTTCTTACATCAGCAATGTAGTTTCACAACGAGGTAACGTCAGTAATAGTTCTGGCTCCCAATTACGTAAATAGGCCATAGGTGCACTTACCTGCACCACCTGCTAAACTACCACCCGGTGCACCAAGGCCACCGCCAATGCCGCTGCCTTGTACACCACCGGAACCACTGCCTTGGACACCAGTGCCAACACCTACATACAACATTGTCATATGTTACAAATTAGCAATTTCATGTTTTTATACACCTCTACCAAGCCTTTTATTTGATTACTTCTGGTAGATTATGAGTAACGAAATAAGAGATTGTGCATTCGAACAGAGGCAAACTTAATACGCCACCTCCTGATGTACCACCAAGACAACCTCCGAGGCCACCGCCAAGAACGCCACCTACAGCACATGGTAGATGTTTAGGAAAAGACGGCCACTTGAAACGACAAAAATTTATTGAAAACAAATTTTTGCCGAAGCAAATGTTGCGACATGCGCTCTTTTGCAGCAGCCTCCTTCAAGACAAGTCCACTTGTCGCAACGTGGCTTTAGTGACACCCTGTGTTGAAACGATGCCTCAACACTTCAGTAAGGTATAACGCAAATAAAAGACAACCTGCTTTCTTTCGAGGTGGGCGAATATCCAAACTTTTTGATATTTTAATAGGGTCTGTTACTCGATTTGATTCGTACAGGAGTTTTACTATTCGGACTGTTTCGAGCTTTCAGAAAGAAAACATATCTGCATCCAGTTTTTCGGAGTAGGCGCCACAAATACTTCAATGACAAATGCGTGCGTACAATACAGCGAGCACGCAGGCAGTGATGGGACCAGCTTTGTTGGCGACGTGCTACACGCAGCTAAGAACGATCAGCCTCTTACAGCAGGAACGATATCGGCCTTTCATTTTTTAGACTTCATAGAAACCACGATATTGTCCGAAAAATCGGGCAGGCTCAATTAACAAATTCTTGCGTTTCTATTCTCCTCAAGCATTTGATTCACCCCGCCCCGCCACAGTGGTCTGTTGGCTAAGGTACTCGGCTGCTGACCCGCAGGTCGCCGGTTCGAATTCCGGCTGCGGTGGCTGCATTTTCAATGGAGGCGGGGATGTTGTAGGCCCGTGTGCTCAGATTTGGGTGCACGTTAAAGAACCCCAGGTGGTCGAAATTTCCGGAGCCCTCCTGTACGGCGTCTCTCATAATCATATGGCGGTTTTGGGACGTTAAACCCTGCATATCTATCAATCATTTGATTTGCCCCACCTACGTCTGAAATGGCCTTACACTTCCCAGTACATTTAAGAATTTTACTGCGTGCCACACAGATTAGGTACCGGCCGTGAACCCCATTTAACTACGTGAATGTGCGTCTTGTGATGAGCGCCGCTAATACCAGCAAAGTTTGCAATATACTACGACTCTCTCGCATCGAGCGTTTGCGCTCGATGACGCGGAGCACAAAGACACGGGCGGAAGGTTGACGACTCATCCGGTTTTTGCTGATGCACGTGGGAACGTAAACGATCACCAAATCATCGCCGACACGCAGCATTCGCTGCTGTGGGAGGCCGATAGCTCGTGTAGTTGCGTACAGCACATCGCCAACTAAGCTGACCCCATCACTGCCTGGTTGCTTGCTGCGTCGTATGCAAGCATTTGTCATGAAAGTGTTTGGGGTGCCTACTCCGTTTCTAGCAACACACAAGCGGGGTCATTGTGAGCTGCTTACGGTTGCGAAGGCAGTGCGTCTGTGCAGCGCACTTGTTTGAGGTCTCGCACAAAAAAGGCAGCGTGAACGGCAGCGTGCACGGTGCGCTGGGGACGTACGCATCCTACTAGCTGTGAAAGGCACGCTGCACTACTGCGAAGTTGGCTGATGGTACTTACCTGGAGGGTTGTCGGGAAATTAGGCCTTACTGGCGCTTTTGCCACGCGTTGTTTGTGTTACCCGTAAGATTATTGAAGCGGTGACGATCGCAAGTCTGGGAGACACGTGCACTTTTAATAGATCTATCGGGAAAAGAACTCGGCTTCTTAAGCAGGCTATCTGTGTGGCTGGATGGAAATGAATGTAGTAAATAACCTCTTGATCTCGCAAAAAGAGAAAAGAATCCGTTGTTGGTTTGTTTGACTGCATATCTTAACTGTCATGGTCGTGTGCATCTTTGCTTTTTTTTTTCATGTCATATTCCTATAGAATATACCTGCGTGCGTCGCTTTCTTTTGAATAATATAGGTAGCCATGTACAAAATAAACCATATGTTGTAACTAAACGCTGTTACCACGTCGCATTTGGCCCTTATCCCTTTGTAACTAAAAAACATTGCTTCAATTTCTGTTTGCACCAATTTTTTTCTTTTGATACACTTATTGTTTTTACACCCACCACTATGATAACAGTTATTGAATGATCGGTGGTAGATGCAGGATACGGCGAAATAAGACAACATGCATATGGAAGCACTTATTGTATTAAAAAACAACTTTTTACGCTACCTCCAAGACCACCGCCAAGACCAACGCCAGATACACCACCAGATGCACCATTTCCACTGCCACTAGCGCCAAGGCCACCACTAACGCCGAGGCCACCAGCGCCAACGCCTCCACCTAAAGAACATACAACATGAACACGAAAATGGATGTTTATTTTACATGCACCACACTCAAGACATTAATTAGACGACTCGTCAGACTTGGAAAAACGAAGGAGATTATGCATAGAAAAGTGCTTAGTTATTGAAAGCAAAAACATTGCGAGAGCTATATTCAGGTCATGTGACGTAGGTATGAATGATTATCAAAGTGGACAATTTTGCCAGTTGGTGATTCATGATCGATGCATACTGCCTGGTAGAATACACGGACGATAAGTAGACAAGGACAACGCAGACTATCAAGTGATTATTTTTCTTGTTTGTCACTTGTGTATACGAAGTGCGTGACAAATAAATGTTTAGTTCATAGTCTTCCCTTGTCCTTGTCTACTTGTCATTCATGTTTTTCGCGCAGGATACATTAAACGTTAATGCTTGGTTCGGGAACAAGGAAGATGAAATATGTTCAAAACTTGCCTATATTTATATATTAAGGCAAAATTATTTGTTTGCTAAAGAATGGAACGTGCCACAAGACTATATTTAGAAAACAAGTCAAAATTTTGCTTAAGTTGTTGAGATAGTAAAGAAATGCTTGTCATAAAAAATGTTCATCTGTGGGTTTCAAAGGCTCCCACTTTGTCAGGACAATGATTCAAATATCTTAACTCCGAGCTTTGTCAAATGGCAAACGTGATTTTCTTTCATTAACTGCCTGCAGCATAGTGCGGGTCACGTGAACACGCTTGAGGACAACATTTTGATGCAGAGCAAAGAGAGCATACTTCACGTTCTTTCGCCATGAAATGCAAGAAATAAAGGCGAGAAGCTTTTGACCGAACAGCTGATTGGGTCAGGCTGCAATGGTGGCATTAGAATACAACATTTAAGCTCGCTAGTCCCTCCGCCACGGTGGTCTAGTGGCTAAAGTACTCGTCTGCTGACCCGCAGGTCACGGGATTACATCCTGGTTTCGGCGGCAGCATTTTTGATGAAAGCGAAAATGATGTAGGCCCGTGTGCTGAGATTTGGGTGCACGTTAAAGAACCCCAGGTGGTCCGAATTTCCGGAGCCCTCCACTACGGCGTATCTCATAATCATATGGTGGTTTCGGGACGGTTTTGCGAGTGATCCGCATCAACAAACGCAGAAAAGGACAATCTTTGGCGCACGTGAAAAGCGGTAGCTACATGTCTCCATGGACATGACAGCTACACCACCAACAGCACTGACACGAAAACCAGCAAATTAGACAACAATAACAACCAGATCAACAGATTGAGATGTGGCTCGAGTTATGTTCTCAAGAGTTTTAGCTCCACTCTCAGACCATCCAGGTACTGCCGTGAAAATGTGAGGCGATGGAACCCACAGGAAGTATGAAGAAGCAATAAATGGACACAGTGTGCCTCTCTGTGCTCTCGCGCAACCTCTGAAACGTATGACAGGATACACTGGTATTTCGCTTTATCACAGTCTATTCCAGTGTTCTTCAAACAGAAGAGTATTATCGGTAAAATAGAACAATAATATATGCATGTCTGTAAAACAACTGGTCCTGTAAATTATCCAGTGATTCTAGCAAAAACTTCCATCAGCCACGTATAGCCTCGAAACAACACGATGCTTGAATTATCTTTGGTTCTCGCCCTCGTAAATAGGCAGCAGATATACTTACCTACACCGACTCCGGATGTGCCACTACTTGCACCCCCAAAGCCAATGCCGGAGCCAACACCACCAGGGCCATGGTGACTACCGCCTTGGCCACCACCTACTGAACACATAAAATTGATAAAAACGTGGTGCCTTGAAGTACGCTTCCCAATCAGACCTCTTTAGTGAATGACCTGGGCTAGACATTGGGTAAAATGAAATGAAGGTTATGCAAAGGCATGTACACCTTATTAGAAATAAAGCCAAGCTTTACACTACCTGCAGCCGCGCTACCGCCAATGCCGCCTCCAAGACCAGCTGCAGCGCCACCGCCACTGATGCTTGCGCCACCGACACCACCTAGAAACATGAATGAGAAACGCCATGCCTTATTGCATGCACCACTCTCTAAGCCGTCAAAGTTTGTGGCGATGGAACCCAGAGGAGATATGAAGAAGCTATAAGTGGACACCGTGTGCCTCTCGGCGCTCTCACACAACCTCTGAAACGTATGGCAGCATACACTGTTATTTGGCCTTACCACGGTCTACTTCAGTGTTTTTCAAGCAGAAGAGTATGTTTGCTAAACATGAACAATAATATATGCATGTTTGTGAAACAACTGGTCGTATAAATTATCCAGTGATTCTAGCAGAAACTTCCATCAGCCACGTATAGCCTCGGAACAACACGATGTTCATATTCATAAAGTTTCCTATTATACACTAGAGGGAACTCTGGCACTAGTGTCTGTGGGAGCTGCAACGCACGGCGCTTCAGCGAGCATGGGAATGATGGGTAGTACACACATTTGTCTAATGTTTGTACTTCTGGCCTGCTTCTGGCTCCGTGTGTGTTCGTGTGGCTTGGAGCTGTTTTCTTACGAAACAAGTATTAGGAAATGTTCAGCGGTTGCGCTTCACCATTTAATTTTTTAACTTGCTTTCCGAATTGGCTCCCGAAGTTCAAAAGGGTTTAATCTTTCTTTCAAAACAAAACCAAAACACAGCAATAAACGAAGCCACAAGTACGATTCGCCGCCCGCAAGTACGAAGACTAGACAAATATGTGTGCTACCCATCATTTCCATGGTCGGTGAACAATCGCAGTGCCAGATTGCCTTCTAGTTAATTTTAGGAAACTCTATGTTCATATTATCTTTGATGCTCGCCTTCGTAAATAGACAATAGGTATGCTTACCTACACCTGCGCCAGATGTGCCACTACTTCCACCACCAATGCCAAAGCCGGAGCCAATGGCACCAGAGCCCTGGTGACTACCTCCATGGCCACCACCTACCGAGCATATAACATGCATAAAAACAGTGTTTTGAAGTACGCTTCCCAATCAAACCTCTTAAGTGGATGACCTGGGCTTGGCATTGAGTAAAATGAATCAAAGGTCATATAAATGCATGTACGCCTTGTCATTGGAAATAAAGTAACCTACCTGCAGCCGCGCTACCGCCAATGCCGCCTCCAAGAACAGCTCCAGCGCCACCGCCACTGAGGCTAGCGCCATGGCCACCACCTACAGAACATGAATAAGAAACGGCATGTATTGTTTCAAGCATCATTCTCCAAAACTTTTAATTCAAGAGTTCAGTAGATGGCTACAACAAAATAAGAAATCATACATGTGTATAATACCCTGATGTTCGAAGAATAGGCATTATGAGTGCTCTATCCAGGACGTATGTCGGACGTATTTAGGTTAACTTCGACATCAAGGCGCATGAGATACGTACGTTGAAGACATTATATTTCAGTTGTAAGCTTGAATTATTTGCTACATGACTCGGACATGTGACTGAGTGTTCTGTAAACATTGGTCAAAAGTTAACATGGCGAGAAAGTCACATAATGTGGGTCGTAAACGTATTAATCTGTGAGCCGCAGAAGCTCCCACCGTTCCGGCAGCATTACTAAATTTATTGACTTCGATGCTTGTAAATGGACAGAACGTGCTTTCTTTTAAATAAGTCTCCCCGCTACGGGCGACATAAGCACGTTTGAGACGATCTTTTATGTGAAAAGCAAAGAGTATAAATTTCATTCTTTGTAATCACGAGCCAGGTATAAGCGTGAAAAGTTTCAAAGCAAGCAGCTGATTAGGTGTGACCTCACATTCAAAGCTGACAATGGTGTAGTGATCCGCATCACTATCACCCGCAAGAAAAGCGAAGAGACAAAGAAGACGAGATACAAACGGAAGTGTAACGGTAAATCAATGCAGTCACATTGTCTGCATAAAAATTTTAGAACTAGACTTCACCAAACTACTCTTCGCAGGTGCTCGTCATTAGAAAAATTATATGAGACTCAGCTGCACAATCCATAAACAGGAGGTGTTCCTTTGAACATGACGAAAGCTACAGCAGCATAATCTATGTCTCGAAAACCGGCAAGCTGGATGACAGCAGCACCAACAAGAAACATTTAGATAGTGCTGGAGGATTGTGCTCGATTGAGATTTAGTTCTGCGATAAGACAATTCAGAAATATCCGTCAAAACCTTATCATAAAGTAGTCCATTGCAGAGGTGGCAAGGACGGTACAAGCTCTCAAGCAATCACAGCATCAGTCTAATGACCTCTTTCACACGCACATACTCTTTTGTGCACCTGCTTTACTGCACATGCAATAAATGAACAAAAGTTTATGGGTCTAGTGGCCCAACTTAGGAACGAAAAGGGCATACACTGTTATTCGGCCTCATTAAAATTTAATCAGTGCGTCGTTTAACCAGACTCGGTGTAATAGAAACATCTGAGCAATATTATTCGCCAGCCCACGAAAACAATCGTCGTCTAATTTAACCAGAAATCCCAACTGACACTTATGTCAATAGCGTATAGCTTCAAAGCAATGCAATGTTTGTAATAAATTTGGTGTTAGCTTTTGTAACTGAGAAGCCGCTATGCTTACCTGTTCCAATCGTTATGCCACCTCCTGATGAGCCAGCGCTTGTGCTGCCAATACCACCGCCAAAGCCAGCACCATGGTGACTACCATGACCGGCGCCTTGACCGCCAGCTACAGCATATATAGCACGAACAAGAAACGTCATATTTTATTACATCCACTACCACCGAAACCTTTCTTTGGCGTTTTGGTAGATATTCGGTGCCACTAAATAAGAGGTCATGCACGCATACAGAAGTGCTTATAAAGTTAGTGGAAGAAAAGAGTCACCCATCTCTTGATACACTACCGGAAATACCACCGCCCAATCCATTGCCAATGCCCCCAATGCCACCAACGCCAAGGCCACCACCTGCAGAACAAATAAAATGAATAATAAACGCCATGCTTTCTTACCAACTTCTCTCTCAAAGCTTTTACGCGTATTTGATGACTTATAGTAGACGCTACGTAAAACGAAATGATAAATCACGCGCAGAAAAGCGGTAAGTTATTGAAAGCAAAGAAACTTCACCATAACGACGAGTGGTGATGCGGTAGTGTGAAATCTTATTTGATTAGCCACTGAAAAATGCCGGGGAAATAATAATTATTGCGTTACGCTTTTTTGAGCAAGAATGCTATGGTTGAAATCTGAGAGTTACAATATTAATACTTAGGGCTCTAACATACCAAACTAAGATATCTATATCAGAGACGCTGTAATTGAGGGCTCCGGGAATTCAGACCCCCTGGGGTTCTTTAAATTGCACCTAAATTTGAATAGCGGGCATCGAGAAGTTTCAGGCTCATTGAAAACGATGTCCTCGCGGCCTGGATTCGATCCCCAACTTCAGGTCAGCACTCGCGCACCATAAACACTATGCTGCCATGGCGGGTGAAATTGGAGAGTCAGACTTAATTATCAGGTTAACCCGACAGGTTTTAAAACATTCCCTTCTTAATTACGCATGCACTAATTGCTTTTCATAAAAAGATAGAGTAAAAAGTTTGTTTTTACCCGCGGCACCACTTGCTCCACCGAGACTGCCTGTAATGCGTGAATCCAAAGAAAGAATTCAACATTGAGTATGCAACCACATGTTTTGAAGATACAGTAGTTCAATTGAAGGTGACACATGCCTACGTCAACTGCTGTATTATTACAGGCCCAGTTTCGTGGGCAGCACAACACGGTCTTGAATTAAGCACCTTCTTATGAGCCATATGTCTGAAATATGCACTGATTAGTCCTCTCCTGTTCTCTGGTGTATTCTTCGGTTGTTCATTGCTTATTTCTTCGTGCTCTAATTCTGTATTTCTGTTTTCTCCCTCTTTTTTATCTTGTTTATAACTGGTTTTTCATCATTTTCATACCAACAAACCACTCCTGCTTGGGCCGCCCAAAGCCTGCAGCATTGTATAAATAAAATAAAATAAAAATATCACAATACAATGACTGAAACGTCTTTTAGCTTGAAGCTTGGACGTAGTTACAAGAACCCCACTTAATTCCCCTTGGTACGATTTCTACGCGTTCTGGAGATGTCCTGGCGCAGCTGTACTACCAAAAGTGTCAGCGCACCGTTCGTGTCACTTTGAGAACGCGAGAATATTAGGGGCAAATTGAAACAAGCCGCCCAGTGGGTGACAATAACCATCTACATAAAATGGGTTATATATCACTCGATTTTCGATGTTGATGTGTGTTACACGGGTCAATTCTTTTGCGCCTATAACGGAGATCGTGAAGCTTTAGCAGATTTGGTGGTGTGCATTATCTATGGATTCATTTTTTTATAAACACGCGAGAGGTGCGAGAGTAGGGCAGCACTCGCACGCTCGGAAGCCGCGCCTTAATAGTTTGCTTCCGGTGAGCTCATCAGCATTCTGGCGAACGATCTTGTTCAGCGGTTCGCTGTGGGTACATCCACGTTATTTCAGTTTCAAGCTTGCCTTTCATTCTAAACTATTTGCTGCTGCTGTAAGAACAGTACAGGACGCAGTACACTGACCACGTGTGGTAAGGTGTCAGATAGGTAGTAGGCGACGGCTCGGTTCAATGCAGCATGAGAGGTCACACACGCCATGGAAAAATGGCCGACCCAGGTGACTCCTAGCGCCTCTTTCACTCTACAGACGATGATGTTTTATTTACGATTTACAGTGCGTCTTTCACTTTTCAGCGTAAAGATAAATCCCAGTGCAAATCAAGCTGTTTGTTGTGGTGAGTTACTGTGTGTGCTTTTTTAGGTACATTGACACTTATCAAAACTAACGACGACGAAGTAACTTAGTGATAGAACGCGTCTGTCACTACTAACTGTTTTTCGTTATATTTTCCAAATTACCTGGGACGCTCTCTGCGTCCCGCCGTGTGGCGATGGCAGCGGCGACTTCTACAGGCCCACGTGGTCAAATGTCGGCACCCTCAAGATTTTCTGTGGCTCAAGGCTCATGGTCCAACACCAGCGACGGCTCAAGAGATGCTCCTGCTCTCGTGCCTATGGACGAAGAGCCGACTGCTGGCCCGTCTGGCTACAGCTCAACATTCGTAAGCTCCGCAAGGAAACGAGGCTGTTGGTGCAGCTTCAGTGAAGACACAGACATCTACTCAGTCGACGGCCACGACTCATCAGATGGCAGCTTCGTGTCTGTGAAAAGTCGGAAGGCCCAAAGGAGGCTCATCAAGACGTCATCACCAGCAAGCACGTCAACCGTGAAGGCAAGGAGTGAACGCTGGCCGCATACCATTCTCTTCATGCCCGTAGATCCTTCCGTCGGCCTTAGCAAATTGAACAGGCAAGCTATCTCCACTGTCTTGAGGGAGTAGCACAGAATGAAATCAAAGAGGTCCGGCTAAGCACACGTAAGAACGTTTTAGCTGTTGACACAACACAGGCAGACACGCTGGAGAAGCTTCGAATGATGACAGAGTTTATAGATGTCAAAGTGCGAGCAGTTGTACTGATGACTGGAATCTGCACTGCAGGTGTCATTTACGACATTGACTTGGCAATCCCAAACACGGATCTACCCATTTTGATAAAAATGGCGTACGAAAGAGTGGTCATTAAGCATATAAGCCTCCTCGTGAACAGCCGCTGTGTTAAGATAGTCTTTAAGGGCGACTCTATCCCTACGCACGTCAAGGTGGGACATTTCCGGCATGTGGTATGGCATTTTGTCCCAAAGCCACTTCAGTGCCACAAGTGTTTCAAGATCGGCCATGTCAAGGGCGTCTGTGCGAACTCTACCGTATGCCCCCGGTGCGCGGAGTCACACACGGTAGACACTGTTGTGCAACAACTTACAGGGGCGGCAATTGTCGAGGTATGCATGAAGCCATGTCTAAGGAATGCCCAAAACTCAAGAAAGAAATGGGTATCCTGAAAGAAATGGTCAGGGATAACTCCATCCATAGAGAAGCTTAACAGAAAATCCGGCGTCGACGTCGCCACCGACAGAAGCGCTCCACTCATGGTGATTTTCATGCACCACTTAAGTATACACCACCATCAACATCTTGTAGAAAGCCAGAGAGTACAAGAACACTTCCACCAGCGAAGCCTCTCTTCCCTGAAGACTGGCCGGTGCTTGCGAACGCATGGCCTTCCGAGCAGCTTTCCCGCTCTCTGCTCCTAGTGAAATTCAATGCTGCTGTTGACGAGGCTCCAACAGCAGATCGTCAAATTATTCCTAAAATTATTCCTATGCTGCGACCTCTTGTGAGTGTCATCAGAAGTCTTCTGACAAGCATTGATACGCCAACCGCTAGGAGTGGCCTACAGATGCTGGACGGGTTGAGTCCGGTCCTTGCAAGCCTCCAGTGAAGCCATGGCCGACAATCACAAGTCGTTCCGACAGGAGGTCAGAGAATCGTCGATTTTTCAGTGTAACGCAAGAGGTCTCAGATCTCGCATATCTGATTTTCGCCAGTTCGTTCATCTGTACCGATTTCCTATCATGATTATATGTGAACCGAAATTATCGCACCCAATCAGACTATCCGGCTACAAGTCATTGTTCTCCTCGTGACATCGAAAGTAGCAAGGTGGTTGTATTTATTCGCCGGGAGCTTACTTACGTCGTCCAGCCAGTGCAACCTCACGACGGCAATCAGTATGTGTGCTTGTCTGTTAAAAAAGGAAAGGTGACATTCGCACTTGTAGATGTGTATATATCCCCATCAAGTCAATTCGACGACAACAAATTAGACGGCATATTAATGGCACATCCGGGTCCGTGGGTTATCACCGGGGATTTCAATGCACATCATCCCATCTGGGGAATTCAAGGCTAATTCAACGGGATGACGTCTAGCATCATTGGTTTCCAGCCATGGTCTCGTTTTTCTGAATTACGCCAGTCCTACGTTTTTGCGTGGCACAACATATAGCAGCTGCCTTGATTTATCCTTTGTTTCACGCCGATTTGCTACACGGGTAAAGTGGTTTTTGGACAATGAAACACACGGAAGCGACCACATCCCCACTTACCTGAAGATTAAAGGTACTTCGAACACGTACTCCTCTACCACAACACGAAGAATAGATTGGACTGTATTCAAAACTCAACTTGAGGATGCTTGTGAAGAGGGCCTGTCTAATGGTCTTCAGCAAGCTATTAAGGAAACTGCACATGCGGCTATGCGCACAATAATATGCTCTTCGAAGTACTCTGTATTTGACCTCAAGCTGGAGGGACTTCGTGTGATCCGCCGTCGTGCCGAAAGATGATACTGACGCACCAATTCCACAGATGGTCTACGAAGAGCCCGGCGCATCCAAAAGAAGATACTACGGCGCCTCGACAAATTAGACACCCAACGATGGAGGAAATTTTGTGCGTCGCTAGGTCCTGATAAACCACTGTCTCAGATATGGAGAATTGTGCCAGGCCTATGTTCTGTTCCAGAGCAGCACTTTCCCTTCAAAGCCCTTGCTCTTTTCATCGCCGGCACGACATTGAGGTAGCAGAAGATTTCTGCGCTATGACCGTGGGCCAGACAACGTACGCAAGCCTACATACAGTGAATCATATCCCTCACTCACGGGACTACCGTTTACATATCTACCGTTTACATATCAGGAGCTCGATGCAGCGCTCGTCTTATGTAATAAGTCGTCGTCGACTGGCCCGGATGACATTTTATACAGGATGCTGTGTAACCTTGGTAAACGGGCACGAGAAGCACTCCTTAACATCTTCAACGATTCCTGGCAAGCTGGCGTCATTCCGCAAGATTGGAAGATTAGCCGCTAAGTACCGATTCTTAAGCCTGGCCAATCTCCCCTGGACATTACCTCTTACCGACCGATCGCACTTTCAAGTTGCGTAGGAAAGGTAATGGAGAGAATGATCTTGGCCAGGCTTGAATGGTACCTGGAATACTATGAGATATATCCGAACGCCATGGCTGGTTTTCGCCGTCACCGATGTTCAATCTACAATGTTATAGATCTCTATAACATGCTATGCGAGTACTAACTGCCATGCAATTAGTTCCCTTTCGTTGCTTTTGCATATTTTGCCAATACCGTTGATTTGCAGAATACTAAGTCATGTATTTCTTTTTTGTTTGTGCAGTTCTATTCAATACTTAGAGCTTGTTCTGTGTTGTGTATTTATGCCCCACTGCTGCCTAAGGCTTCCATATGAGGCCGGCAGTATGTAATAAATAAATAAATAAATAAATAAATAAATAAATCTCGTCACATATGTCTAGCATCAAAAGGCGTGTAAACGACTATCTGCTGCCATGTTCCTTGACGTAAAAGGAGCATACGACAACGTTCTTCATGACGCCATCCTCGAAGCCATTGAGTCAGTGGGCCTAGGCGGACAACTGTATTGTTGGACACGCAGTTATTTATAAGGGCGGACCTTATTTGTGAACACTGCAGATGGTCCAACCTCCCAACACCCAACGCATCGTGGAGTTCCGCAAGGTGGCGTCTTGAGTCCAACCCTCTTCAACCTCGTTCTCATTGGTTTTGTAGAACGACTACCAAGTGTGGTCAAGTTATCCATGTACGCTGACGAAATCTGCGTCTGGGCATCTGGCATGACAAGACCTCAGGTACGCGCAAGACTTCAAAAAGCTGTGATGTTGGTATCAGTGTACCTCAAGGAACAGGGCCTGAAAATCTCGCCAGCGAAATGCGCATTGATTACTTTTAGTCGAAAGCCAATGGGACCATACGCTATATCTATCGACGGACAAGTCATACCATATGTCAGGACGCACAGATTTCTAGGCGTATTCATTATTAGGGACCTCTGCTGGGGCCCACATGTGGCCCACTTGAAGAAGAGGCTGACAGAAATTGCTAACTTATTCAAGTATCTTGGAGGAAACACCTGGGGGACTTCAGTACATGCAATGACGCAATTGTACAAGACGCTTTTTCTTGGCTATTTGCGCTACAGTTTGCCTGTGTTGACCAATACCTGTAGAACCAGCATTCGGACTCTCGAAAGCATTGATGCTATGGCTCTGCGAGTTTGTCTGGGGCTACCGCGATGTTCATCAACAGCTGAGACAATTGAGATCGCTAAGGACTACCCGCTCAAGACGCATATCATAATGGAAGTGCTCAGAGCACACGTGAGGCATCTTACTCGCGCCCGTGTCCATCATCTAGCTTCACTGCCAGAAGACCGACTTCGTGCCTCATTTTGCCAGTCTTTTCATATCGCACACGCATTCCTACGGGATATACAACTCCATCCAGAATTTTAACTCCCCCATGGAGTATGACCTATGCACATGTTGAACTCACGGTTCCAGGCATAGGGTCAAAAGTCCGGCTCTCGTCTCCAGCGCTAAAGCAGCTTTCTCTTCTCTTGTTATATGAGAAGTACAGTGAGCATACTCATCTATATACTGACGCTTCAACTAAAGTGGATGGGTCTGCAGGGTCGGTGATCTTTCCTGCAACAGCGACAATGGTGAAGTTTCGATTATCCTACCACACATCATCGACAGCTGCGGAACTTGCTGCTCTATGTAGCGCAGTTAAAGTCATTAAGCAACAAGAAGCCAAAAAATGGAGCATGTTCACGGACTCCAAGGCAGCGCTACAGTGTTTGATATTAGCCTTACGCCGGAGACCTCATGAACAACTAGTGCTGGAAATTAGAGCTGCTTCACCACCTCTTTGACGAAGAACACAGAATCACGTTTCAGTTGTTTCCAAGTCACTGCGGCATATTGGGCAACGAACATGCCGATGCAGCTGCTCGATCAGCACACGAAGATGGTGAAGAAGAATCTATACCATTTTCAAGGACTGATGCTGCAATGACAATCCGAAAAATCACTAATACAGAATTAAAATCCCTGTGGAACGCCGAGTGCTTTCGGCACACGCGACCGCATATACTGGGCACGTCTCGTCCACTCCGGCCTCCGTCTGGACTCTCTCGACTCGAGACAACGGTGCTTTGCCGACTATAGCTTGGTGTCGCCTTCACCAAAGCTTTCGCCTTCCGAATCGGCATGGAAGACAGTGCTGCTTGCGGTCAGTGCGGCAGCGATGAAACTATAGAGCGCGTTCTCTGTCACTGCCCTAGTTACAGCGTGCACAGACGGCAACCAGCTGCTGCGTTAGCTCGCCTTGACGACAGACCTTTGTCTGAACAGTCAGTGCTTCAAAGGGGACATGATTTGTGTGCTCACAGAAAATCAGTGAAGGCCTTACTGAAATTTTTGCGTGGCAGTGGCCTATTGTATAGACTATAGCACCTCAGTCCCCCCCCCCTTTTATTTGCGCGCGTCTATTTCCCTGTTCGTTTTCTTTCCCATCTTTCTTCCTCATTCTCCCTTCCCCTAGTGCAGGGTAGCAAATCGGATGCTCCATATCCTGGTTAACCTCCCTGCCTTTCCCTCATTTTATTCTCTCTCTCTCTCTACCTGTTCAGTTCGGCCCCAATCTCCCAACCTATTTCTCAGAGAGGGCAGGTTGACATGGTCTACTGCACCTGAGAAAAGCTCCTGACCTAGTCGACCACTCACTTCCTATACATGATTACCTAAAAACCAAATAGAGAGCAGAACGCGATTGCATCGTTGCGCAACTCGCCTCCGAAGACGTTCTGATCAAGTGCATGGGTATATCTCGCAAAACGTCTATTGTGGCATTTCAATACTCTGTGAATACCATGACATTAACTAAAGTGTATGAGTTCAGTGATGCTGTCGTTCTTTTCGATAGTATGCTCAAATCGCTAGCAATCTTTTTCTCCTGATTGTAAACATGGTGAGATGCGAGGCCTTCGTTTTCTCGATTCTGCTTGCAGAATTTTTCGAGTTCAACAACCTCTCATGAATTGTACACCGTCATATGTCTTCCTCAACTTGAATATGCATCTGTGATCTGAAATGGCATTGCTAAATCTGGCAATACACGTCACTGAGTGAGTCCAGAAAAAAAAACAATCATGCACATTTACAAACATCCTTCCGCTAGAAATGACTCTCAGTCTCGCTCTAACATTGCCAGATTATTATCATTACCGTCACTTCACTGCCAATCAAATCGCACTGACCTGTCATCTTTTCACAAACAATAGTTCACCGTACTATATCCGACCCATTATTTCTCGCCCCGCCACGGTGGTCAAGTGGCTAAGGTACTCGGCTGCTGACCCGCAGGTCGTGGGATCAAATCCCGGCTGTGGCGGCTGCATTTCCGATGGAGGCGGAAATGTTGTAGGTTCGTGTACTCAGATTTGGGCACACGTTAAAGAACCCCAGGTGGTCGAAATTTCCGGAGCCCTCCACTACGGCGTCTCTCATAATCATGTGGTGGTTTTTGGGGTTGTTAAACTTCACAAATCAATCATCAAGCCATTATTTCTCGGTTGTGCAAGTTTTTTTTTTGCTTCAGCATAAATTACCTAGAGAGAATCGACAATTTAATGTGCCTGCCAACTTTTTCAACACTCAAACCCTCACAAAATACAGTCTGTGTATTGCCAACTTTCGTTGTCTTGTTGTTCACAGTGCGCTGACATTGTTTTTATCTCAGCTCTGCACTGTCTTCACATAGCTTTTGACAATGTACAGATTCTCCCTTTTTACGGCTTTCAGGAAGCCTTACACATAGATGTGTGTATTGCCCTTTATTTTTCACTGGCATTCAATTATTCTTGTCTTGTCCTTTTATACCCTTCATTGTGCGCTGTTTTATCTTCTTGCCTGTGCGTTTTCACTCTTTTAATTTGATTTCTTTTTCATAAGACTATCTGTGTTATATTGTTTATTTCTATGGTTTTTATGTCAGCGTGCACCTGCACAAAGATCGCATGGTTGTTCCGGGGCACGTTGCCCCGCCACGGTTGTCTAGTGGCTAAGGTACTCGGCTGCTGACCCGCAGGTCGCGGGATGAAATCCCGGCTGTGGCGGCTGCATTTCCGATGGAGGCCGAAATGTTGTAGGCCTGTGTGCTCAGATTTGGGTGCACGTTAAAGAACCCCCGGTGGTCAAAATTTCCGGAGCCCTCCAATACGGCGTCTCTCATAATCAAATGGTGGTTTTGGGACGTTAAACCCCACAAATCAATCAATCAAATCAAACCTGGGGCACGTTTAATAAAACTATTCATTAATTATTACTATTAATAGACTGCCCTCTTCTTAGGATGTAGTTCACAGGATATACAGTGTAAGCAATAGGTGCACACAATGGAATATTGGGAGCCATGGTGAAATTTCGTGAAAGCTAAAAAAAAGCGGTTCCCGCCATTTGTCAATATAGGGGTTTTGTGGCAGTGTAGCTAAACCAGACGGGCATATTGATTACGAAAGATATAAAGTGCTTGTTTGTGAAATGAACGGGCATATGTAAACTATTCAGGAACCCCAATGAACACACGAACCCGCAATACTGGTTTAACATAGCAATATATGTAATATCAGTAATACTTGTTTGCCTAATAAACAGATGGTGACCTTACCTGCACCACCTATTCCAATGCCTCCGGGTGCGCCAATGCCTGCGCCCAAACCACTGCCACTAGCTGCAGAGCATAAAACATGTATAAGAATCAGAACGGCAAGCTGGGTGAGTTGGTAGATGAACGTAATTTTGCTGTGGGCAGAGTGACCCGGACCGAGGAACAAATGGAACGAACATAATCAGCGCTTGTTTGTGTACGTCCCTTGTAGGCCTCAGTCTTGGTCGTGCTGCCCACAGCAAAATTATGTGTAAGAAATGTTGTTTCTTTCACGTACTGCCAGAACTAGGGATGTGCGAATGCTGAAACAATACAATAAGAAGCAAATTTCAACTAGGGAAATACCATGAGTACCATATATCTACTAGATACTATTCGATTTCTACAACAACAACAACAACAACAACAACAACAACAACAACAACAACGACGACAACGACAACAACAACAACAACAAATACAAGAAAAATAATAATAAAGCTTCGTTAGCACATTCTTGACAGGACTGCACCGCGTCACTAAGTCTCTATACTGTCTGTCAGCGTCCTGGTCTTATATGCGCTTTTCCTAGCGCCGAAGTAACAGAACTTGAAATGTGTATGAAGAATATGCGTGCTATTGTGTGTTTAGAAAAAAGTTGTTAACGATTTAGAGCACGATGTACTCAACTATGGGAGAGCAGAAAGCCGTCCCGTGCAGTGCAGAAATGCGTACTATTTTGTTTTAGGGGCGAAGCTTTTTACAGCGGCACCTGTTCGTCCCTCCTAGTAGAGCGAAACATGTCTTACGTTTTGACCTGCAAGTAGGTGCCGGTGGGAGATTTCTCCTGTCCGTTGTTGAACAATAAAAACTTCGCAGTGTGCGCCTTAACTAAAAGCCGAATTCTCCTGTCTCTTATTCCCAATTAGCAGCCATTGGCATGTAAATTGAGCACTGTCTGACAAAAAAGGGTTGCTAGGTTATACTTGCTGGGCGTAACCTCCTTGGTTTTAGGAAGGTTTAGCGAGCGTTGGGCCGCAGTGCCATGAACACAGTGAACTAGTATATACCATGAACTCGAGGTGGTTAAAGGTGGGAAGTACACACGAAGCGCAAGCCGTAAGAAAGTGGGCGTGTGCTACCTCTTGTTTAGTCCTTGGAATGTCCACTGGATGGCGGTGCTTCTATATGCGGAATATATGATGAAAAGATGCTAGATGGTGGTACTTGGAGTATTGACTAGTTGGGCGAACGATAGCATAGACAGATGCATGGACGGACACATGAATGGCTGCACGGACGGATAGACGCATAGACGGACGAGAGGGCCGGATGCATGGACGAACGCAGGGATGGACGCATGGATGGACGTGCGGACGCATGAACCAACGCAAGCACGGACGGGCGGATGGATGCACGGATGGTCACACAGACAGACGCATGGACGGACGGAAGCAAGAACAAATGGACGGATGGATGCTTCGCCCCACTCTCCGTCATTCACCCCATGGATATGCTGCCATTTTTTTCCCTTATAAGTAACACGTGCATCGTCAGGAGGCTCAATAACATTTTCATAAAAAATGGGCCCCGTATCTGCATGTTAATCTGCAAATTTCATCGAAAGGCGATAGATAGTCTTACGTGTAGAGAGAGTGAACAAAACATTTGTTTGATGTTCTGCGCAAGAACATCGTTGAATGATATTCTGGAGGCGCTGCGTTAGAGTGCCTCGAGCGGGCAGCGGAGGCGAACGAGCGCATCGTCACGTCACACCTGAGACGTGAGTGCCATCTGGCAGTTTTTCTTCAAAACGAAGCGCGTGGCTCTGAGACGGGTGTGCGCGCCGTCTCAGAGGTGATAAGGTGTAGAAAGCAAGGCGACGAGTAGGTGTCACCACCGTCTCATCTTAGCAAAGCGTCGGAAACACTCGCCTTTTCGTCCAGGCATTGCATGGTCAGGGCAGCGTGATAAGCGCTACGGTCATTAAAATTACGTTTGTATGCCTTTTCTAGCAAAAGATGCACATGCAGAGTATATACGTGTTGTTATGGTGCCCCAGACATGCGCAATAATTCCTTTTGAATTGACAATTGCATAAGTACGAATGCTGAAGTTTGAGCAACATTGGTGGGCCCTGCGGATAGGGTCGACAGTTTCAAGTACCCGGTGCCGACACGAGTGGACAAACAGACATATGTACAGACAGACAGGCCAAAACTTTTGCGTTGAAGGTCCCCAAGAAAGACTATTGTCTTTAAAAAAATGCACGGTATCGTTTATACTGCAACAGTGGCGGTGCATTACTCTTAAGAATATGGGTTTGAAGTTGTTGCAGCAATGAGCGTCTTCGCTCTTCGAAGTATTTGTAGCCGTCAGTCTTCGATTTCGCGAAGAAAGATGGCGCGTTCTTATCCAGACCACCCGTCCCACCACCTGCTGCTCCGCCTGCTCCTCCGATGCTAACAACACCAACAGACATAACATGACGCCAGGGACTGTCAGACTTCATAAAATAGTGCACGTCTAGTTTATTTTCAGGTGTCTGCCATTATTCAGTTTTACACTCTGTTTGGGACTTATAGGGACGCTTTGAGAGCCGCGCGCAGTGCCACTTGTGGTGCGGCGGGCGCGCAACGTACAGAATCGTATGGCAGACAGAAGCTCCTGATTAGTTTGACAGCTATGGTGGCAAAAGCATCCGCGGCTGGCGCATTGGTTCTTCTAGTAGGATTTTAAGATATTGTAAAGAGACATCCTTCTGCAATGGCACTATGAATAATTAAGAAAACCTGCACGAAAGCGGCCCCGTTTCCCACGTTTGTGAGTGCCTTGCTGCCCTTCGTCAGTACACTGATGGCAAGTGCGAGCTTCAGGTGTGTGCAGTACAAGATGCTTGCTTTATAACTGTCGCGGTAAGCTGTCATTTTTTCACACTTAGGATTTTATTGGTGCGTGCCCACTACTCGCGTACTTGCAAAATACTCGGAGCATTTAGAAATACCGAAGGATGCATGGCCATTCGCCCTGGAAATCATGGTAAGTGGCCAGCGGCGTTGGCTGTGACTTCATGTCACTGTGATTTTCAGCCACCAAGTGTCGCGAATTGTTTTGCTTGAAATCGTTGCGGCATCATCCTGGCTCATCGTGATCATGGTCTTTGCCTCGCCGCTCGCGTATCTATGCTAAGAGGCTGAGGCACCGTCAAAAAAGAGAGCTCGCTACACCTTTGGCCAGAGAGTACTTCGCAGCCCCGTTTCGTACTTCGCCTAATTCGCATGTCAAAGTGACGACTACTTCACCCACGGTCAGTACGGCTCCCGTAGCTTATCTCTCATTCACTAGAACCTCTTGCGTTGTTAATGTTGCTTCCCGAAACGCACATCCGTCGCTACAGCATGGACATTTCTCACTTCGTAGTACTATACTTCTCGCCCTTCATCATGTCTTCCTAACATGCAGCATGTTTACCAATTAAAAAAAAAGAATACTTTGGATGAACCAATCCGAAAGATGTGATTCAATTTATCATTTCCGGGGGTTATTTCCTTGGGGCTAGAGCACTAGGTTTTAGCCAATGAAGCGTTTCCGGTGACGTAAGCGATTTACTGCAATTTTTCAAGTCCTTCACATCTCCTTTCTTATGAATTAAGATGATGTGGGCACTTTTTCAAGATTCTTTGCGCTTCTCGTCAAGAGACACCTCGTATATAAGTTAGCCAGTTTTTCTAACACAATCTCCCCGCCATCTTTCAGCAGGTCCGTTGTTACATTATCCTCGCCAGCGGATTTGCCTCTTTGCATTCCTTCTAGAGCTTTCAACACTTCCCCTGTCGTTACTTGCCAGCGCTTTTATGCGTCACTTTTCACCCCCTCCTTTTGTTCGCTAAAAAGTGAGAATTTAATATTCAAGTTACCCTGACATAAAGACAATGCTATTTGTAGTTTTCATTTTATAACATGCACCACAATAAAGGAAAACAGTTATTCGATGAATTGCTGTACAAACTGGGTACGGCAATATAAGAAAGCATTGAAGCACTCACAGGAACAAAATAAAAAGCTTTTTACGCTACCTCCAAGACCAACGCCCAGACCAACGCCAGGAGCAGCACCAGAAGCGCCCACTCCAGCGCCACTGGCGCCAAGGCTACCACCAGGGCCGAAGTGACCCCCAGTAGCAGGGCCAACACCAGCGCCAATGCCACCAGTGCTGAGGCTCCCACCTACACAACATATAAGATAAACACGAAAAGGGGTGTTTAGAGGCGCCACTATCCAGACATTTTATTGGACGACTTCTCAGGCCTAAGGCAAAAACATTAGGAGATGATGTATACAAAAATGATATGCAAAACAAAAACATTCTGAGAATCCTATGCAGGCCATGTGCCGTAGGCATTTAGACTTATTTTTAAAACTAGAGAGGTGTGACATGTAATTCAAAATGTGAATATATTTCGAAGTTAAGGCATAATTATTCGCTACAATAATCAGACGTGCCACTTGGCTACTTTAGGAAAACAGGTCAAATGTCGTATAAGGTGGCGAGAAAGTCACGAAATTCCCGCCCGTAAATATATTCATCTATGAGCCGCAAAACCTCCCACTATGCCGGCACAATCATTATATACGCTCATTTCGAGGTTTTTCTAATGGAAAAACGTGGTTATTTCTCATGAAACGCTTTGAAACATATAGTGCTGGTAACCTAAACACGGCTGTGAAAACACGGTTCGAAAGCTCCAACATTACAATAAGAAGTAAATTACAGCTCTGGCTGTGTATTGTATATCGAATATCTACTATTCGATTCGTGCAACGAAAAAGCTTCGTCAGCACATTCCTGACGTGACTGTGCCGCGTCAAAGAGTTTTACTGTTTGTGCGCGTCCTGTCTTCCCTAGTTTTTTCGCGCGTTTGCTGGCGCAGTTAATAGAACTTGAAACGTGTATGAATGATATGAGTGCTATTTTGTTTTTTCCACGTAACATTCGCATCGTAATGAGCCTGCATAATATTTTAAGAAATATTATGTAGCATCGCTTATAGAGCAACAGTGGTGGTGTATTACACTTGAGAATACGGGTTTTCATTTGTTGCAGCAACAAACGCGTTTGCTTTTCCAAGTATTTTTAGCCATTAGTCTTCGATTTCGCGAAGATGGCACGTTCTTATCCAGGCCACCAGTCCCACCGCCTGCTGATCTGCCTGTTTTTGATCTAACACCACCAGCTGGTGAAAAAAGGCAAAACATGAGGCCACAGACTGTGGGACTTCATCAAGTACTGTGCCTCTAGTTTGTTCATTCAGTTATACACTATCAGTTATCATTCAGTTATACACTATGTTTAGAGGGGGCACTTAGAGAGCCGCGCACAGCGCGACTTCTGCTGCGGCGGGTGCGCGACGTTCAAAATCGTATATAGCTGACAGCAGCTCCTCATTGCTTCGAGAGCTATGGTGGTCAAAGCGCCCGTAGCTGGTGCGTTGCATCTTCGAGCAGGATTTTAAGATATAGTAGGGAGACATTCTTCTGCAGTGTCACTGTGAATAAATGGGGAACCCTGCTCGAAAGCGGCCACGTTTTCCACGTTAGTGAGCACCTTGCTGCCCGTCGTCAGTACTGACGGCAAATGCGTGCGTCAGGTGTGTGCAATTCAAGATGCTTCATTCCTAACTGTCGAGGTAAGCTGCCATTCTTTCGCATCTAAAATAATATTGGTGTGTGCCCACGACCCGCTTCCTTGCAAAATACCCGGACCATTTAGAAATATCGAAGAATCGATCGCCCTGGAAATTATGGTGAGTTTCCGGTGGCGTTTGTTGCGGCTTCGTGCCACGGGTATTTTAAGCCACCGAGTCTCACGAATTTTTTCCATTGAAATTGTCGCAGCATCGTCCTCGCCCATCATGATCATGGTCTTTACCTCACCCCAAGCGCAGCTATGCTAAGAGCTTGAGGCGCGGGCATGAAAGAGAACGTGCTACGATTTTGACCAGAGAGAACGTCGCAACCCCGTTTCACCTTTCGCTTCTCATTGTAAAGCGGTGACCACTTCGGCCATGGTCACTTCAGCGACCGTGGCGTAGCTCTTATTCAATAGAACCTCTTGCGTTGTTCATGTGGTTTTCCAAAAGGCACATCCATCGTTACAGCATTGGCATTTCTCCCCTTGCAGTTCTGCTTCTCTTCGTCCTTCATCGTGTCTTCCTAACATGCACATTGCTTAGCACCTAAGGAACAATATATTTGGATGAACCAATCTGGAGGATGCGATTCAATTTATCACTTCTGGGGGTTCTTTCCTTTAGTGCTACAGCACTAGGTTTTAGCCAATGAAGTGTTTCCGGTGACTTATGTGAATTACTGCAATTTTTCAGGTCATTCACATCTCCTTCTTCATAGATTAAGAAGACGTTGGCAGTTTTCAAAATTTCTGCGACCCTTTTTGCCCAGAGACACTTCTTATATAAGGTGGCCAGTTTTCTAACACAATCTCTCCGCCATCTTTCAGCAGTTCTGTTGTTACGTTACTCTCACCAGCGGCGTTCCCTCTTTGGAGAGGCAAAGCTTACATTTCTTCCCCTGTTGTTACTGGTCAACGCCTCTTATGCGTCGCCTTGCATCCTCGTCCTTTTGGTCGCTAAACAGCGAGAATTTAGAATTCATATTTTCTTGCTGCCCAAAGCTTTGCCATTTGTAGTTTTTGTTTTATTACGTGCACCACAATAAAACAGTTATCCGATGAATGACTGTAACTACTGGTTACGACTATATAAGAAAGAATGGAAGCACTTATTGGAACAAAAAAAGCTTTTTACGCTACCTGCAAGACCACCACCTAGACCAACGCCAGGAGCACCAACAGAAGAGCCGACTCCAACGCCACCAGCACTAAGGCTACCACCAGCACCAAGGCCACTACCAGTGCCAATGCCACCACCGGTGCCAAGGCCGCCACCAGCGCCAAGGGCACTACCAGCCCCAATGCCACCAATGGTGCCAAGGACAGCACTGGTGCCGCCAAGACCACCACCAGCTCCGATGCCACCAGCTCCGATGCCACCAGTGCCGATGCCACCAGTGCCGATGCCACCAGTGCCAATGCCACCAGTACCAATGCCACCAGGGCGGATGCCCCCACCTGCAGAGCATGTACCACAAACATGAAAAAAGGATGTTTACATGCGCCATTGTCCCAACCTTTCATTTGACGACTCGTCATACTTAGCACAAAAAGAAACAGATAAATCATGAGTACAAAAATACTTCGTTATTGGAAACAAAAAATATTCCGAGGGCACTTTGCAAGCCATGTGACATAGGTATTGAGGCTTATTTCGAAAACACGAAAGATGTGGCATGTAAATCAAAATGTTAATATATTTCGATATTAAGACAATTATTAGTTACAAGAACCGGGCGTGTCATTAGACTACGTTAGAAAAACAGGTCAGATGTCGCATAAGAAGGCGAGACAGTCACGAGATGCCCACCCGTTAATATATTCATCTGTGAACCTCCCACCATGCCGGCACAATTATTATAATCGCTTATTTCGAGGTTTTTCTATCGGGAAAACGTGGCTTTCTTTTGTGAAACACTTCGCAGCCTAATGCTGGTCACCTAAACACGGCTGCAAAAGGCACGGTGCGAATGCTCGAACTTTTGATAAGAAGCCGAATTCAGCTCTAGGAATACCACGAGTCCACAGTATTGAATATCTACTATTCAATTTCTCCAACAAAAAAGCTTCGTTAGCACATCCCTGACGAACTGCGCCGCGTCACTAAGCTCCCTTGTCTGTGCGCGTCCTGTCTTCCCTGGTTTTTTGTGTGCGTCTTCTAGAGCAGGTAACAGAACTGGAAATGTGTATGAATGATATGCGTGCTATTTTGTTTTCCCCGGCATAACGTTCGCATCGTAATGAGCCTTCGTAACATTTTTCGAGATATTACATGGCATCGCTTATATATGAACGGCGGCGGTGTACGGGTGTACGCGTGTTCAGTTGTTGCAGTAACAAACGCGTTCACTCTTCCAAGTACTTTAGCCGTTAGTCTTCGATTTTGCGACATGACGCGTTCTTGTCCAGACCGCCAGTCCCACCGCCTGCTGATGCGCCTGATCCTCTGAGGCTAACACAGCCAGCTAGTGAAAAAAAGACAAAACGTGAGGCCAGAAACTGGAAGTCTTCATCAGGTATTGCGAATCTAGTTCGTTTTCATGCGTCTATCATAATTCAGTTATACATTGTTTAGGTCCTATATTCGTCCCGATATCGAGCGGAGTTGCCGCCTGGTGGTCACTGGTTGAAGCGCACCTAGTGTTAATTGCTCCCGGCGTCGTCTGCTATCCACATAGACTAGCCCGTGCGCGTACATCACGCTTGCGCTCAAAGGGTGGTTTGTCCCACTCTGTTAGCGCAAGACTAATTGCTTGTACGTTTGCCTAGCACTGTCTACAGAAGCATTTGGCCTTACTCGCCTGTGTATATGTACCGCAATAAGATGAGGTCAAGCACTTGGCTAGAGTGATGTGTATCGTCGTCGTGGCCTCTCTTCGCCAGGATCATGTCAGTGTAGGTGTCGCTTTTTAGCTGAAGCCCATCGTAAAGTGCACTTGGCGTCGCCCCAAACATAAGGAATAATAAATATTGTGTGAGTGCAGCGTATTAGCGACTCAGGGATAAACTAATGTTTTGCATTGTTGTTAGGCGTCTACTTTAAAAAATTGCGGCGTTCTTTCTTATTCGTTATGTGACGAGCCTTAATTGTGCTTGAGATAACCTTGTATTGTTCGGTCTTAGTCCCATGACACTGCTGTATAGTAAATTCTGACACTTTGGTACTTTATTTGAATGGCATGGAGCTGATTAAACTTGAGTTGCCATGCGAAATTTTAGCATTGGGTGATATATTTATACAGGCACACCCGTGTTTTCATCAAAGGTGAATACGTGGCCGAAGTCTGCCTGGTTGGAATAGAAATGAAGCAATTAGAAAACTCCGACCGAAAATTGTATTCAGAAAACCAACGTTTCGAAGCCAGACAAAGCGCCGACTCAAGCGCTGTAATACAATTTTCGGTTGAAGTTTCCTAATTGCCTCACTCTTATTCTTAGATTTGAGCTCCCTTAGAAGAAGCCAGATTGTCAAAATTAATACAGACGGCGTGCTCACATATGTCATATAATTTCAAGGAGAACGTGACCTTTTTCTTGTTTAAAGACGATAGCCTTTCTAGAGGACCCTCGACAGAACAATTCTAGCCTGTCTGTCTGTCTGTCTGTCTGTCTGTCTGTCTGTCTGTCTGTCTGTCTGTCTGTCTGGTCTGTCTGTCTGTCTGTCTGTACATTTGTTTCTTTGTCCACCATAACGATATCTCAAACGGCAACAAACGGCCAACGCCATCCGCAGCGCCCACCAATATCGCTCAAGGTATAGCGTTCATATTTGCGTGATTGTCAATTAAAAGTTGCAAATAGTGCGCCCATCTGAGGCGCCATAACAACACGTCTATGTTTTGTATGTCTGCCTTTGTACGAGAAGAGGCACACACAAGTAACTCTAAGGACTGTAGCGTTTATCGCACTGCGCTGACAGTGCAACGCGATGCTCAAGGAGGTGTTTCCAACGCTTTGCTTCGACGACGCGGTGGTGACACCTGCCCGTCGCTTTGCATTCTACATTTTATCACCTCAGAGACTGGCACACATCTTTCTCTGCGGTCGCGCACGCCTTCGTTTTTGAAGATAACTGCCAGATGGCGCTCGAGTCTAACGTGCCTAAATGCGATTGTTCGCCTCCGTTACACGCTCGAGGCACTCTAACGCAGCGCCTTGAGAATACCATTCACCGATTTTCTTTCGGAGAACATGAAATAAACAATTTTTCCTTCTCTCCAGACGCAAGACTATCGTCTTTCGACGACATTTACAGTGTAACATGTAGGTTCGGGCCAACTTTTTTTTCACATCATCTTGAGCGCTTTTGTGGCGTTGAGCAAGACACACGGAAGAAGTGAACACACATTTGCTTGAAAAAAAAAAAAACCTTCGTTCCATCAATTATTCGAACTTTTCCATCACTTTGATGCAGATAATCAAATAAAAAAGCTGCGGGCTGAACCATTACCTTTGTATTCTGTTGTACGAGTAAAAATAAGCGCGCTTAAGCGCTCTAAGTCATGTAGCTTTCCTGAATAAACTTATCGACTGCCCTACCTTTATTTCATAAAAAAATGATTAAGACAAAAAGGCGGAATGAGTAATCGCTGTATATTTGGGTTCATAGCCCAAAAATATTGAATTTCTTCCTTGTTTTTCCAGTCATGCTCAGCAGTGCATACTAGACGGGACACAAGCTGAATACCTAAAATAAAAATACAAGAAATTTGACACACTGCAGTGCGACAGTGCACACAGTCTCCATGCGCGAACATCCCTTTTAATCGCAGACTGCATTCCTGTCACAAGTAAAAGTAACGTTCGGTGAGCTTCGTGCATGCGTTAGGCAATGAATGGCATATTTATTACGACTGGGCAGCAGTCAACGCATTTTATTAGCCGACAATCGACTCACAGCGCACAGAAAACGTGCCGTTGCGTGCATTGGCATTCACGCCACCGCCACCTATCCACACTAGCACGGGTGACAGTGCTGTCGCCTATAGCCCGATCTCGGGATGAATAGTGGGCACGCCACGTTCAAAATCGTATATAGCTTACAGCACCTCTTCGTTTCTCTGAGAGCTATGCTGGCAAAAGGGCCCGAGGCCGGCGCGTTAGTTCTTCTATCATAAATTTAAGAAATGATAGGTAGATATTCTTCTGCAATGTCACTATGAATCAATGGATAAACTTGCTCGAAAGCGGCCATGCTTTCCACGTTGGTGAGTGCCTTGCTGCCCGCCGTCATTGCTGACGGCAAATGCGTGCGTCAGGCGCGTGCGATTCAAGATGCTTGCTTCCTAACTGTCGAGGTAAGCTGCCATTATTTCGCACCTAAAATAATATTGGTGCGTGCCCACGACCCGCTTACTTGCAAAATACCCGGACCATTTAGAAATATCGAAGAATCGATCGCCCTCGAAATCATGGTGAGTTTCCTGCGGCGTTTGTTGCGTCTTCGTTCCCCGGGTATTTTAAGCCCCCGAGTCTCACGAATTTGTTCCTTAAGACTGTCGCGGAATCATCCTCGCTTATCGTGACCATGGTCTTTATCTTCCCCCTAGCGCAGCTATGCTACGAGCTTGAGGCGCGGTCAAGAAAGAGAACGCGCTATGGTTTCGGCCAGAGAGAACGTCGCCACCCCATTACGTCTTTCGCTTCCCATTGTAAAGTGGCGATCACTTCGGCCATGGTCACTTCGGCCAACGTGGCTTATCTCTGTTTCACTAGAACCTTTTGCGTTGTTTATGTAGTTTTCCGAAACGCACATCCATCGTTACAGCTTTGGCGTTTCTCAATTTATAGTTCTGCTTCTCTCCGCCCTTCATCGTGTCTTCCTAACATGCACATTGCTTAGCACTTAAAGAACAATATATTTGGATGAACCAATCTGGAGGATGCGATTCAATTTGTCATTTCCGGGGGTTCTTTCCTTTAGGGCTACAGCACTAGGTTTTAGCCAGTGAAGCATTTGCGATGACGAATGCGATTTACTACGTGAGACCAAACGAGTTGAATGCTAAGGCTACCGAAATCAACCTCATTATTCAGCAACATAAGTGTTTTTTTTTGCAAATTAGGCTAACTACTTGTTTCGAAAACGATCTATTACTAAGCATTTCCATTTTAATATTATCAACACATTCCTTTATATAACTAGGCACTGCCAATTTCATGGCCGATGCCTCGTAATGGGTTGCGCTAGTTTATTAAGCGTCAACCAACCCATGAAAGTTCTAGATTCACCCTACCACGTTCGCATAAAGTTGCTAGGCGGCTAGTTTTGTTTGTGGTGATAGGCTTCGTAACTGAGTTCCTTACCTGAAGGTACTATGAACCCAGCGAAGCACTAATTGACCTCACATCGCATTACCCAAAACTGCAAACGTAGGCGGCAAGTTAATAATTATCGAGGTTCATAAAGCATTCCACCAGCCTTGAGCCGAATTGAAATGCTTTGTATAGCTTTCTTTTTTCACCAGCTCTATGGCCGAAGGGACATCAACAAAGATCATTGCACCTGCAGAGGTGGCGTCTGAGACTAAGTCAAGCCTTCAACGGCCGAGCGAGAGGCGGCCGAGGGAGCGGGAACCAAACACTTTTAACGTCTAACAACCGTGATCCACTTATTTCGGCCCATTAAAGCACGGGCGAGTCGAGAAACTGTAAAACATCATTCCCGCAGGACACGTCGTGTACATTTTGGGCAATCGACTACGCAGAAGTCCATGATTCCGATAAAGTACGTGCTAGAGAGCGTTGGGAGAGTGTATGGTTCTTCTCCGGCTCTCAACGTATGTCTACCCTGAAGGCCACGGGGTGGCAGGCCAGTCGCCCTGCACGGAGTTTATATCAATCTGCTTAGCGTAAGTGTGCGCGCAGTGTCAGTCAGCCTCCTTCTTAAACCATCATCAAGTCTATTTCTGTGCCTTTTTAAAAGCGAAGTAAGAGAAACTAGGCCACTAGAAACAAAAGTACTTGAATACTACACCCAATTTCATTAGTACTCGCTCTTACTCAGAGGGCTGGGTATGAGAGTTATACCACAGACAGACACTGATGCATTGACATACATATGGGAAACAAAGAGAAATCTTCTCAGCGTACAGAGAAAACTTCAAGGTCAACCTGGGTACAAAGAAGACAGACACTTAGGTGTGGCTGCATAATTGTCTTTTCTTGGTCTTGTTATATGTACACGTAATTGATTATTTCGCAAACCAGATGATACAGCACCCAGAAAAATTTAATGCCACCCCATTAACATTATATAAACAAAAATATTTGATTTAGGTTAGGTTACTCTAAAATGTACACCTTAATATTTTTGACAACTGTCCAAGTCCGTGCCTCACTTAAAATAATTTTTTTGGCCCGTTCTTTCCTTAACAAGCCGACTTTTGCCTTTTCGGTCATAGCGTGGAAAAATGACAAAGGAGCAAGCGGTGAGCAAAAGCGTACCACATGTTTTTCCATTGTCAGTATAAGAGTTATACCTGCCGCGGTGATCATATTTTAAATGGAGGTGGAAATTCTTGGGACCCGTGTACTATGATATAGGTACAATTTAAAATACGTGAATTTAATAAAATTTCTAGAGCGATTTACTGCGGCGCCCCTCATAATCACGTCATGGTTTGCGGAAACAAATGCCCAAAAGGTATTATATATAATGTAAGAGTTTTTTAGATTATAACCTTGTCACCATCTTCGCACATCTTATTCACCCACTAACGACATCATGCAGTTTCTGGACCAAGTAAAGAGCAAGTAAAGATCAAGTAAAGTGCAAAAAATGTGACTTTAACTCCACAAAGGGTGATGTTTTCAATTACAGTTCGTCTTTTAATTTCCAGTGCAAACAAACATTGCGGTGCGAATAATCTATTTGTCATGGGCAGCTCCGGCACCTGCTCTTTCAAGGTAGAGTGACATTCATTGAAACTATTCCTAACCAACGCCCTGATTCGCCATAGGCCGCACCAGTACCACACATTACAAGAAAAATAAAATGAAGGAAAAGATCAAAATACACATTTCTTTTGACATCCGACATCTACAACCTAGTATTGAGAATTGCAATATGACATTAATAATGCATATAATTCATTAATAAATAGGGCTCACGTGGTGGTCAGTGTGGCTGTTTTTTTTTTCACCACAGAAATCAATACGCATTTCGCATTTTGATAGAAGTGAAATGCCAGAGGCACCTGTACTACGCGATGTGAGTGCACATTAGAAAACAGCAGACGGTCGGAATTGCCGGATTTCTCTACTACGGCGTCCTCAATAAACATATTATAGTTCTGGGACGTAAAACATTAGATATTTTTTGCGTTGCACTTCTGTGTTCATGGCAATTGTGTCGAAGCATTTTCATCATCTCTAAAAAGAAAATAGGAGGCTGCCTTCTTATTTGCTAAGAGGTGGTCCACGAGATAGATATTGTAAGCGATGAAAGCACACAATTGAATTCTGGAAGCCATGGCGCCATCTTGGAAGCGCATAGGAAGGGCGCACTTCATTATTTGGCATCAAACAGGTTTCATGGCAGCGCAGCTAAACCAGACGGCCCTATCAATTTTGATCAATACAAATCACTTGTTTGGGTCATGAGCGGTTATGCAGACTATTCAGGAATTCCGACGGACATATGAACCAGAAGTGTTGCTTTTATACAATGCAGTGTCCGTACTATCGGTGACCCTTATTGTTTTCCTTATTAGACAGAAGGTGCCCCACCGTGGTGGTCTAGTGGCTAAGGTACTCGGCAGCTGACCCGCCGGTCGCGGGATCGAATCCCGGCTGCGGCGGCTGCATTTCCGATGGAGGCGGAAATGTTGTAGGCCCGTGTGCTCAGATTTGGGTGTACGGGAAAGAACCCGAGGTGGTTCAAATTTCCGGAGTCCTTCACTATGGCGTCTCTTATAATCATAGCGTGGTTTTGGGACGCTAAACCCCACAAATCAATCAAATATTAGACAGAAGGTGAACTCACCTACACCACCTATTCCACCACCTGCTGATGCGCCAATGTTTCCTCCACCTACACCACCGCCAAGGCCTGCGCCAATGCCGCTGCCACCACCTGCAGAACAGAAACATATATAAGAAATGCCATGTTTGTTTACGCGTACTAATTAAAGAACTAGTTATGTGCGAATACTCCAAAATTCGAATGAGAGTCGAATTGCAGCTCAGGGAATACACGAGTACCGTATCGACTTGTTTTGTACCTACTTGTTTGTACTTATATCGTATTAACCAGCCTGCATGGACCATGAGTTCATATTAAAATAAATAAATAAATGAATAAATAAATAAATAAATAAAATTCGTCAAATTTTCTGAATAAATGGGTTTCGTTAGTATATCCCTGACGAGACAGTGAGATTTGGGTGCATGATAAAAAATCTCAAATGGTCGAAATTTCTGGAGTCCTCCTCTATGGCGTCTCTGATAATCATGTGGTAGTCTTGGGACGTTACAACCTACATATCAACATCATCACGAGACCTCACCACGTCATTTAGCACTATAGACGAGAAGGAACACCAAGTACGACTACGAATTTGTTGACGTGGGGTGCCGCAAGCTACAAAGAAATAAATCTATTGCCGCTGCAAACATTTCATGGTGCCCTTGTTAAGACTTTTCCTCTCATTTCTGCACCAGAACTACATGTTATGCAACTATCAGCAATAAAATGTGCACTTCTGTAAAACAGAATCAAGCGCTGAAGTAGCTGACCTCATCTTGCGTGTCGTTTTAATGCCTTACGCATTCCAGCTGCTCATCGGTCATGGCCATAGATTTTTACCCACGCACACATTTAGCTACACTTGGAGGAGAAGGTTACACCTGCGATTTTTTTTTCATTGCTCACTGCGTCGTCCCACATTTAAGCTGAACCCTCTTTGTAAGTCTCCAGGCTTCTGCTCCGTAGCTAAGTACCAGCAAGATGCAGCTGTTATATACTTTCCTCTTGAGGGACAGTGGCAATCCACCTGTCATAATTTGAGAGTGATTGCCAAATGTGCTCCACGCCATTCTTATTCTTCTAGTAACTTCAACCTTAGGAGACAAGAAGAGAGCAGAGTGGATTAGGGAACAAAGGGGGTTGAGGATATCATAGTCGAAATCAAGAAGAGGAAATTGACATGAGCCGGGCATGTAGCGCGTAGACAAGATAACCGCTGGTCATTAAGGGTAACTAACTGGATTCCCAGAGAAGGCACGCGGGTTAGGGGGAGACAGAAAGTTAGATGGGCAGATGAGATTAAGAAGCTCGCGGGTATATATTGGCAGCAGCAAGCACAGGACCGACTTAACTGGTGGAACATGGGAGAGGCCTTTGTCCTGCAGTGGACGTAGTCAGGCTGATGATGATGAGGAGGAGAAGGAGAGGTTGAGGAAAGAATCGACATAACTTCTCCAGTTCTAGTTAAAAACATGGCTCAATGCCAGTTACTCTTCCAGGCATCAAAAACTGACCTCTTCTTAAGGGCCTCAGACTGATGACATCAAAGAAAGATTAAATCCCTTTTAGTGGGATTACAACACAGTAACTGCCATGAAAAACTCCACAGTTAAAATGCTACAGAAACGTACTTTTAGTTCGCAAGCTAATTTGTTCCTTCTGTGAAATTAAATGCTTCAGTAAATGCCTACTGTGTTTCACATGCGAAGAAGCTTTTACTCGGGGCTGCGTTTATACCTCGTCGACCGCCCGCTCCCCCGCTGCGCATGCGCCAACGGTCTCCCTCTCCTCACTTGACCACGAAGAGGTGGGAGGAGTTGGGGTGCAGGAAGTCGCAGAGTTCTGCCTCAACATCGTTTCTCCTGTCTCGTTTATCTCTCCGCCACAGCTCTGCGCTCGTGTGTAATGCTGCGCTCGCTCGTTCCGTTGCACTTTCCTATAAAAGAGCTGGGCGTTCACTTTGAGGCACACACACGGTAATGCACACAAACTAGAGGAAGTGTAACCTAAACGGTACAAAACATATACATAACTACAAACAGAAATGAAACATACATGGAAACAAAGAAATGGAAACAACGAATGCAAACATAAGTGAACAACAGCACTGCTTCACATCCCGACAAGGTTGCCTTTCGTGGTACATGGAGTGATTTTTAGTAGGTAAGAGAGACAGTCACCCGTACCACTTGACCAAGTATTTGTGACTCCACCATGGCCACCCTCCAATCCATTCAGACCACCGCTACCTGATAAACCTGAAATAAAAAAAACAGCATTATATCCTCAGGATGAAATGTATATTACAGATGGGAGCAAAGCTACAGACAATACATGACTCTAAATAAGTTTTACACTAATCTTTCGGTCACAGCAATAGGTGCTACAAAAACTGAATCATGTCCTCACAGTAGTATACTTGAATGTTTATTTTACTTTGATATATCAGTGCTTGCGCAATGTGTATTCTTGTTGAGAAGCTATAGAACTGGTTTAACATGAATGCCATCACGTTGACGTCTAGTGTCTCATTTTCACCTCAATGACTAACAATAAATATCACTCAACCCTTGTGATAGCTGTAGTTTATGCAAACGTGCTTAACATATGCTAGAAGGCCACGCAAAAATGGCATAAAATTACTTTACACTGTTACTCAATATACCCTGATTTGAAACATCATGTTTTAAGGAGAGTAGCGCCGTGATGTGCGCACTCTAGTAATAGTGAAACCTACATCTGTGTTCACGTATATACCACACAACGATTCAGGAACGGGACAGGCAGAGCTCCTAGCTTGAACCGTGAACGTGGACAGGCGTTTCGATTTTTGCTGGCATGTGTCTCTCTGCAACAACCACTGAAACTACCGAAGGGCTCTCTGCCGGCGCTCGTTCATGTCATGACACAGTACTTAACTTCACTCATCTTACATAGCAACATATCCCCCCCCCCCTTCCAAGGAGGAAAGTTTGCGAAAGAGACAAGGTGTGAGAGCGCTAAAGCGGGTTTGTTTATTGCCTCATGCATGAGCGTTGGCTTCACAATGGGGAGAGTGCTCAGCACCTACACTTCCAGGTCATCCAAATGAGTGATATGTGGTTTTTAAATTCGAAACGTTTCTTTGCTATTATCTATCTATCTATCTATCTATCTATCTATCTATCTATCTATCTATCTATCTATCTATTCTATCTATCTATCTATCTATCTATCTATCTATCTATCTATCTATCTATCTATCTATCTATCTATCTATCTATCTATCTATCTATCTATCTATCTATCTATCTATCTATCTATCTATCTATCTATCTATCTATCTATCTATCTATCTATCTATCTATCTATCTATCTATCTATCTATCTATCTATCTATCTATCTATCTATCTATCTATCTATCTATCTATCTATCTATCTATCTATCTATCTATCTATCTATCTATCTATCTATCTATCTATCTATCTATCTATCTGCCGGCCTGCCGGCCTGCCTGCCTACCTGCCTGCCTGCCTACCCGCCCGCCCGCCCGCCCGCTTGCCTGCCTGCCCACCTGCCCGCCTGCCTGCCCACCCGCCCCGTCCGCCCGTCCGTCTTTGATTGATTGATTGATTGATTTGTGGGGTTTACTGTGCCAAAACCACCTTACGATTATGAGAGACGCTGCAGTGGAGGGCTCCGGAAATTTCGACCACCTGGGGTTCTTTAACATGCACCCAAATCTGACGTCTGTCTGTCTGTCTGTCTGTCTGTCTGTCTGTCTGTCTGTCTGTCTGTCTATCTATCTATCTATCTATCTATCTATCTATCTATCTATCTATCTATCTATCTATCTATCTATCTATCTATCTATCTATCTATCTATCTATCTATCTATCTATCTATCTATCTATCTATCTATCTATCTATCTATCTATCTATCTATCTATCTATCTATCTATCTATCTATCTATCTATCTATCTGTAGCGGTACGCGAAGAGACATTGGTGACCCGGAGAACACGCCCTTCGCCGAGCGGCCCGCGGCCATGTTCCCGCAACTCTGCCCGGCAGTGCCGCCGTTCCAATCGACCTACCCAAAGGTATGGTTTATGCAGATCGACGCCGTTCTTGCGGTGAATGGCGTCACGGACCAGCCGCTGATGCACGCCATTCTTCAAGACGCCCTTCCGGTAGAGTTGCGTCATCTCTCTGGCACTTCAACCTCCATCCAGCAGCCTTACGATGACCTCTGCTCGGCGGTGCTTGCCAGACATGGCCTCACCTACCACCCGCTGCCGTTCACCCGCGACTTACAGGTTTCGACTGCGTCGCAGCGCGCACTACCAACCAGCCCGCAACCATCCATTGACCGCGACCGCGCTACCCCTGCTACGACTCCCCCTACCTCAGATCCAGTCGCACGAAGATCCAAATCTGCACCTGAGCACGACGACCAGGTAGACGACGCTCCCACTTCGACTGGTCTCAGCACCGAGAGAGGCGTCCCCTTGGAGCCCGCGAACGCAGGTCTGTCACTCGTGCCTGCCACTTGCACGTCTTCCTCCACCCCAGACAACTCAGGCAGGTCAGTCTTCACGACGGCAACCTCGCCGCACGCCTTGGAGCCTGCCGCAACTACGGACATCGTCGTGCCTGCTATTCGCCCCCCAATCGCGGAGGCATCGCCGTCGACGGTGTCCGAAGATGACTCTCAACCGGCCTTAACGCGCCGTACGTCTTGCAAGCAGCCACTATCACCTACCTCAACGTCTCCCGCAGCTGAAGTTCCTGCCCGTGACATGCTACGACTGAACTTCCGGGATGCTGCCGGACAGACCGCACGTTTTGTACCACCCATGCAGGCGGACAACCACCAGGCTGCCGCGACGAGCACGGGCACGCCATTCAACCCCCAGGCCACGACTTCTGGGCTCAACAACCATCCCTCGGAGCCTTTGACGCTGGACGGCAACTACCAGACGTGTGTCCGCAACGCGGGCTCGTTGGTGACACGAGCGACGACGCCCAATCCTACTGCCTGTCTACCACACTTGACAGCGCACAGAAGAAATCATCGCGTTCGCCGTAAAACACAACGTCCCCTTTTCAAGCGTCCTGCTATGCAGCCGTGCGTTGCAGCTTTGGCCTTCAAGACGGCGCAAACACCTACGAGGTTTTCCCGACGCAAGGGCCAACCACTTGCCGTGCACATGACTAGCCGCAATGCACGGCGTTTCCGCATCCGTCGACTCGGCCACACGCCCCGGCATGCCGGTCGCAGTGCTACGCGGAGGCCGGTGTTTCATCGACAGAGACGTCCGCACCAGCACGACCGCGACGTTGCTCCTTGTCGACAGCAGGCTCGGCACCCTGTGCGCTGTCGGAGACCCCGCTGTGGCTGTGAAACTTCAGTGCTCGGTCATCATGGGTGCGTTCCGACCATTCACACTATTTCGCCCACATTGCCGGCGCGAGCTCTTCAGCGCCTGTCCACAGTTCCAGCTGTGGGCACGTTTGTCAGCCGCGTCTACTCGAAACGGCGGGTGCGCATTCGAATGGTCCCGCCGCGTAATTGTGGGATGGACGTGTCTATGAACACAGCGACCCGGCACTTCCTTCTTCGTCCCTTGCGCTTCTCCCAGAGTCGCCCACCGGAGACACACTGCTTACGGATGGCCCATAAACGTTCACAAACTGGACTTCCTAAACGGACACCTTGCGGATTTTCGTTCATGTATATAGTCTCTTTCTTTTTCATATGTTTTCAAATCGCGCAAAGCGCTAGGGGGGGAGCCCTGTAGTGTCATCATCATCGCCATCATTTCTTGATCACTGCGCCGCGCCTCTCGTGCAGCCGATGCGAGCTCGAGCTGCGCGAGAATTAGAACGAGCTCAAGCACCTGGCGCGTCGGACGTGGACAGCCACCGCGGCTCCTCTTCAGGCGTGCGATAAAGTGGCGAGATCGGCACGGCCCCGTCGGCCGCCTTCGACGTCATCTCACGTCTCCTCTTCTCTCGTCGCTACATATCTATCTATCTATCTATCTATCTATCTATCTATCTATCTATCTATCTATCTATCTATCTATCTATCTATCTATCTATCTATCTATCTATCTATCTATCTATCTATCTATCTATCTATCTATCTATCTATCTATCTATCTATCTATCTATCTATCTATCTATCTATCTATCTATCTATCTCTTTATCTATCTATCTATCTATCTATCTATCTATCTCTTTATCTATCTATCTATCTATCTCTTATCTATCTATCTATTTATCTATCTATCTATCTATCTATCTATCTCTTTATCTATCTATCTATCTATCTCTTTATCTATCTATCTATCTATCTATCTATCTATCTATCTATCTCTTTATCTATCTATCTATTTATCTATCTATCTATCTATATATCTATTTATCTATCTATTTGTCTATTTGTCTATCTATCTATCTATCTATCTATCTATCTATCTATCTATCTGCCGGCCTGCCGGCCTGCCTGCCTGCCTGCCTACCCGCCCGCCCGCCCGCCCGCTCGCCTGCCTGCCTACCTGCCTGCCTGCCTGCCCACCCGCCCCGTCCGCCCGTCCATCTTTGATTGATTGATTGATTGATTGATTTGTGGGGTTTACCGTGCCAAAACCACCTTACGATTATGAGAGACGCTGCAGTGGAGGGCTCCGGAAATTTCGACCACCTGGGGTTCTTTAACATGCACCCAAATCTGACGTCTGTCTGTCTGTCTGTCTGTCTGTCTGTCTGTCTGTCTGTCTGTCTGTCTGTCTGTCTGTCTGTCTGTCTGTCTGTCTGTCTGTCTGTCTGTCTGTCTGTCTGTCTGTCTGTCTGTCTGTCTGTCTGTCTGTCTGTCACCTTTACTCCCGCCTTGCTCTTCTTGCTTTCTCTATATGTTCAGAATGGTTGAAATAACGAATTTTCACAGAAAGTGCGGCATCACACTTACAATCACTTCAAATACTCCACGAAGTGGCTGAAATTACTTCGCAGTTGCCAACTTAGCCAATATGAAAGCGATTGCTTAATTCACTACCTGAGTGGCCTCCAAAGGTACCGCCAAGTCCAATGCCAGGTCGACCACCAAGTGCGCCGCCAAGTCCGCTGCCAAGTCCGCCGCCAAGTGCGCCGCCGATTCCGCTGCCAAGTGCGCCGCCAAGTCCGCCGCCAAGTCCGCTGCCAGAGCTACCACGGGAGGCAGCACCCAAGCCAGCACCCAAGCCAGCACCAATGGCAGTGCCCAACAAGCCAGCTCCTATGGCAGCGCCGGCAGTGCCTGTGGCATGAAGTTGTCTTCGAGATTTCTCCAATGATCGCGGCTATGCATACACCTACACGAGTTACACTTAGTGCACTCCATAATGACTATATTAGAAAAAGTAGAGGACGCACGTTGGTTGTGCAAGACGCATTTCCTACCTTTCCGACTGACAAACCCACCTTCATCAAAGTATCCCTCTTTCTTGCTTTCTCTTGATTCCTCTTCGCTTTGATTCTACGCTATGCTTTACTATTTTCCATTCTTAGTTTCCTCCTCCTCACTCTTACTTTCATTTATTGCTACGTTTGTATTCAATATTATACGATGTGTTATGCTCGGCTATTTTGACTAAGATCCATGCGGGTATGATCGCCTTTGGATCGGGGGTGGTCATCATCAACATCAGGCTGACTATGTCCGCTGCAAGACATTAGATTCTCGCATGTTCCACCAGTTAACTTCGTCGTGTTTGCGGCTGCTTTTATACCCGCAAACTTCCTAATTCCATCTGTCCACCTAACTTTCTGTCTCTCTTTCACCCGCTTGCCCTCTCTGGGAATCCAGTCAGTTACCGCTAAAGACCAGCGGTTATCCTGGCTACGCGCAAGTGCCCGGCTCAGGTCCGTTTCTCCTTCTTGATTTCAAATATCACTACGAGCAAGTACCCGGCCCATGTCCGTTTCTCCTTCTTGATTTCAAATATGATATCGGGGGTGCATGGGTTCAAATCCTGACTCAATAAGTATTTTTTCCTATCATGGACCAAACACAGTTATTTGACTCACTCACTCAATCACTCACTCACTCACTCACGCACTCACTCACTCACTCACGCACTCACTCACGCACTCACTCACGCACTCACTCACTCACTCACTCACGCACTCACTCACTCACGCACTCACTCACTCACTCACGCACTCTCTCATTCACTCACTTGCTCACTCACTCACTCTGCGAAGAAATTCTTTCTCTCTCTTTCTTTCTGGCAACGTTGTTCTCTTGCTGTGGTCTTTCATTTGGCCATCAGAGTTAATGTATCCCACACCAAAAATTAGGCGCACGTGTTCGAGGCGTGAAGCCGAAGATGAAGCAGAGGACAAGCATAGCGCGTGCCCGTTGACAATGATGACTCTTTTGAATTCGTGGATCAATTGTTGGCGAAAACAGCTGCGATGTTGAATGATTCCAGTGGAATAGCTAGAAAATACGCTCACCACCACTGCCGCTCAATAAGCCTCCTCCTCCGCCGCTGCTGCTGCTGACTCCGTAGCCGCCACCAAAGCCACCACGTGCACCCAAGCCACGGGAAGAGTGTCCTCCTACGATACCGAAAATAAAAACGCAAATTATTTCAGTACCAACTCGGGAAACGTTGCCAAATATACAGCAAAACAAAGTAGACATTTAATAGAGAAACATATCGAGAATATCAAAGTGTATCACTGTTCGCCTGCTGATGAAAATTGGGGGTTGGCGACGGGGGCATCAAGCGTTCTAGATGTGCTGATGTACTTGGGAGGGTGATTAATGACATTATATAAGAGTCAACAATAAAGTCAACATTCCCATGAACGTACTTAAATTAAAAAAAGAAACTGTAATAAATACTTCCCTGCACAAATGAATCAGTAAAAGATATAGTTTTATGTAGGGTTTTACGTCCCGAAACCACTATATGATTACAAAAGACGCCATAGAGTTGAGCACCGGAAATTCGGATCATCTGGTATTATTTAACGTGCACTGACAGCGCACAGCACACACGGGTCTCTATACCATTTCGCCTCCATCGAAATGCGACCACCACGGCTGGAATCGAACCCACGACCTTCGGGTCGACAGCCGAGCACCCTATGGCCACTGATCCAATCAGATGGGCCACAGATTAATTAAAACTCTCCGCAAATCTTGAATGTCTAAAAGCCAGCCCAGCCGCGGTGGTCTAGTGGCTAAGGTACTCGGCTGCTGACCCGCAGGCCGCGGGATCAAATCCCGGCTGTGGCGGCTGCATTTCCGATGGAGGCGGAAATGTTGTAGGCCCGTATGCTCAGCATTGGGCGCACGTTAAAGAACTCCAGGTGGTCGAAATTTCCGGAGCCCTCCACTACGGCGTCTCTCATAATCATGTGGTGGTTTTGGGACGTTGAACCCCACATGTCCATCAATCAATGTCTAAAAGCCAGTACAGGTGATCTCTAATTTACCATCTTGAACAAAGCAAACGCATTAGGTGTAAAAGCGCACTGCCACACAAACAACTGCTTTTTTGGCTAATTGGAGCGGAGGGTTCAACTGTCAAAATTGTCTCAATTACGCATGTGCGTATATACAGACACATATACAAATGCACACACGAACGTACAGTACATGAAAAGTAGTTCTACCTCTATTCACGCCCCTCTGCCACCGAAAACTAACCTGCCTACAACATTAAACTGTGCACTCGTGTTCGATCGTCACTTGAAACCGAGAAATTTTATAATTTATTTTATTTGCATGCTTCTAAATGTATTGGTCACGGACAAGACGGTGATTTTTCGCTCACAATGAACGACGACAAGGCCGATGATGAAAGTGGCAGGGATTTCTGCGAAACGAGCTTAATAACGCTCTCACGTCATTATAAGCGGTTGTGACTTTTACAATATCATATTATCGGAGGTCCTACGTCTCAAAACTGGTTTTACACTTTCTGCACCGCATTCAACCACCGTTCTTTTGGTTAGTCAGATAAATGCAAAGGTGTATCCAAGTTCGCAGTCCTACTCAACATCATACTTCCAGGTCCGATGCGCAACAGAATGCGACAGAAAATTAAGATCTCTTGCGCTATGCATGGCGTGCACGCTAGCATACCCTGACGTCTTTTGCGAGGTTTTATTACTCTTTGGTTGTACGGCGTTCTCTTGTAGTGCTATATCAAAGTTTTTGTGCTAATTCAAGCACTTCTCTACATGACAATTTGGCGGTTGTTGTGACAACACATTTTCTTGGGATACTCGACCTCTCTGTTGTAATACACCCGCGACAGCATTAGCAATTCTGTTACTGGGACGCAAGCTGTTCACTACACATCAAGAATCTGTTTTAACCCAAGAAAACACTTGATGCGAAACGGCCAATACAGTCATCCTCATAAAAATTCTGTGAAAATTTCTACCCGGGTGTGTTGCTTTTACAATGGACAGTGGCCTCGTCAAGGTAATCTCAATGTGGCCGCTAATTTACTGTGTGCACCTCAGGGAGCCATTGTGCCCCTCCCGTGGATGAGTTGTCACTCTGCTTCTTTCTATATATCGGTATTTGCCAGTTCTTTGTACTTTTGAACGTATGCCTTCCTGGGCTTTTTGACAATAAAATGTGTGGAATAATAGTGCGTGATTTTAAGCCCGTACTGCGTACAAGCTATGGCCACTTTCTAACTCTGCTCATGGCTGAAATCAGGACGATTTCGCTCAACTGTGTGTGAAAAATCAGCGTTCTCTTGCCGTTCAATGATTGTTTGCATCCTATAAAAATCATCATTCGGAAAAGATGTCCTGAATATTCCACAGTTATGAATATTTACTTGTTGGGCCGGGGTCATTGGCAATGTTCTTTGCAACAGTGTTTGACCTATTGAACACGCTGCGCTATCTCATTTCAATAAAGCGATTATTTTCTGCATCAGTAAAAAGGTCGTGTCACACAATACTACGCTATGTTATTTTAATAAAGCTATTGTTGTCTGCGTCAGAAGTCCTACTTACACGATACAGGACACTCAGTTGCTTCGCATGCTATATGCAACTATCTAATTTCTGTATTTGAAAAACAAAAGAGACTGTAAACTGCCGCTTCCTAACACAACCGTGTGGTAGACCAACAGAACCCTCAAGCACACGCAACTTCTACAAATTACTGCAGGACAGCTGGCTTTTATAAAGTTTAAGAAGAGGCAAACTCACCCGTCACAACACTGGAGCAACGAGTACAGGGGCCTGGCAGAGAGCATATACACATGAGAATTATTGCAACGCATTGGGCGTACTACATCACTTTGAAAACATAGCATAATGAGCAGAAGCAATTAAATTACCTACATTACACTCGCCCACATGAGTTGCGTAGCGGGCTATGCTGCTGCGGTATTATAAATTCCTTGTACTTAGGTGTGCGACCATTGATAATTGCCTTTTTCGAGAAAGGTGCACTTCTCGATGCGATTAGTCTTATCGAGCTCTGTTTATTGGTATAGAACAAATGAATCTTGTGACCATTTGTAAACATTTCGAGCAAATCTCAATGTGACAATATGGTGCTTGTTGTGACTGCATACTTTACTGCGGTATTATAGCTCTCCGTTAACTACTCACTTACGATGCTATTCCCTTTTGTGGTACCGACAAAAACAATCAGTTGAATTCCTTGAATTTGCAGCAAACACAGAAAAGTCTTGGCGCATAACAGTTATTTCAATCTTTCTCATGCAAACATGTGCTGAAAATTTATACTGGGTGCTTTCTTTTTCTTTTACATTGTGCAGCGGCCTTCAAGCTAATCTCGTTGCGACCGTTAATTTACTGTCTGCCCCTAAAAGAGTCCTTGTGGCCATCACGATGATAATTTGTAACTTGCTTTTTTCCGAGATTGGCCTGTCATTTATTTATGTTTTGTACCTTTAGGTTTTTCAGATTTATAACAATAAAATGTGTAGAATGATGCTGCTTATGTTTTGAAAGCCCTTGCTGCGTACAAGCTATGGTCACTTTCTTACTCTGTTCATGGCTGGCACGAGGACGATATTGATCAACTGTGTGTGGGGGAAATCAGCCTTTTCTTGCCGTTCAATGATCGCTTGAATTTCATCAAGATCATCATTCAAAATGGACGTGCTGAATTTCAACAGTAAAAAATAGCAGTGCCTATACACATTTACTTGTACGAAGCCACTGACGTGTTGTTTGCAACGGTGTTGGATGCGTTGAACACGTTGCACAATCTCATTTATTCGAGCGATTTTTTTTTGCATCAGAAGTCCTACTCACACGATACGTGCCACTTAGCAGCTTCTCCTGTTTCGTGGAACTATCTACCGATAGGCCCTAGCCACTAAGCTCATCTTTGACAGCACTGACGTGCGCCTAATTAAGGCAAGCCTCTTTGTCACAAAGCAGCATCATTTTAGATGCGAAAATTAAGAAACGAAACATATTTTATAGAGAGACCATGAATTCGCACACCACTTCTGTGTTCCCCTGGCATGGATATTCTTTCCGCGGGTGGCCTCATATTAAGCGTTCCGAAGGATTTTGACAGCTCCTGCACATTATTTGGGAAAACATTTTGAGGACTCTTGAGCGTCGTATGCAAGAGTGAAACGCCATAGTTTAATCGGGCCCCGCCCACGTCACCTTCTCCCCAGCTAGCCTGAGTTAGCATCTCGTTGGACATCCCAGACACATCCCAGATACATACAGAAAAGAAAGGAACGTCCGTGTGCGTAACGTAGAACCTTTCAAACTATACTAGAATAACCCGCAAAGTATCCGCTACGGCTCCGTAAGGCATCTGCTCACTTGGTTGATGCTGTTGCGATGATGACAATCGATTGCGCCTGTGCGCTTTGTTGAGTCGAAGCTGTCAGCCTTTAAGCCAGCCACATGTCGCGCAACTAATATTTTTCCACGCCTGTTGATACTTTATGCCATTTGCCACGCCATAATGTATTTATTAATGAAACTATTGACAATATTGATGTTCATGTAGTTTTCTCTTGCAAGCAAACTTAGAGAATGGGCGTAGCACTTTACTACTACAATATTTCCGTCAGGAACAGCACCAATTTTCTTCTTTTTTTTTTTTTGCTGACAACGAATGACGTAGGCGCCAACGCCGCCGACACCCGACTATTCTACAAAACGAGCTTATTACTCCTATTTTGTTAATATTTTCAGCGGCACTGTCTTTTCAAAGGATAAAGAAGAGGCAAACTCACTCGTCACCCTGTTGCAATTGACACATCCATGACCTATCAAGAAGAATGAATACAAGCATGCAGATTAATACAGTTCTTCAAGCATGCACTACAGCGGTTTTTAAAACACTGCACATCAGCACTTGAATTAAACAGATAATATCTGACAGTTGGACTGACGTTCACATATGAGGAAAATGAGAATGACGCCCTTATAATGGCAAGGAAGTTTTCTTCTAGGTTACTCGGCTAACGCTGCAAATGGATATAAAAAGACAAATATGCAGTTTTCATGTGAATACAGACGTGAGCTCTTCTTGAACCTCTCGTAGTTCGCGCTTCTACATAATCTGTTTGTCGGCACTCTGCAGCCTTTACTTAGCGTCGGAGCCAAAGTATTGTTACTTGTTTTAGCATCTGGCTTATATGTGACTGATGTAACTGTATTTTTGAAACCCAGGATGATGCTTGTGTAAATTCTCCAAGATAGTTAGGCATTTATTATGCAGTTCGTGAGTGACATGTAAAGCCATAGACTAACTTTGGCGTGTATGAATGTGTCACCTTAGGCAACCATTCCAATGCAATGAACTGCTAAAGCATTTGTTATATCTTTATTTGTGAAGTATTGGGAATTCAATCATACTGATTGTCCGATATCAGCGCCATTCGCTGAGCAATCAACACGACCACTAAAACTGGCGAGAGCGAGCAGGAACTTATTAGCGCTGCTCCGCCTATTTGTTTCGTCCCTAATGGTATAAGGAATGAACAAGAACAGGACGGCTGGAGTAGGAACATCCTTGCAGGTCAGGAGTTCCAGTGAGTCACGGCTTATATAACATACCATTATCTTTTACAAAGTATACCGAGCTAACCAGTCAGTGCTGCAGTTTTTTTAACATTTTAAAGTTATATTTATTATTACTTTCGACTTCAAAAAGCAGCCGCCAAGGTGCGCCATCTTCCTATGCAGGTGCATGCATGACGTCCTTTCTTTCTCAGTAAACCATCGTACCGCATGTGCTATCGAGTGTTCGCTCCTTTGTTTTCTATTTATATCCAAGTGCTAAGAACACGTGAAAGTTAAGGCTTAAAGCTTGCGTTCTTTCTTACCCAACAGCTTGCTGTGTGGCATATGCGAGGTATTTCTTTTATACAAAGCATTTAATAGACAGTACAACACTATCATACGTTTTTCTCGGCTGTGTTTGCTGACAGGCGACGGAGCTAGTCGCAAATAAGATGAAAAAAAAAAGGGTAAAGTCTATTCTTACTTAACAAAGAAATACATCTTCTTACAATTAAATTACCCACGAAGAAGGTAAAACAAAGAACTTATCACGTGGTGAGGTGAAGACTGTTTAATGATTATATGGCTGAAGTTTACTCTTTACGTGCTCGCTAGTTGCCATATGCCACACTCTACCGATGTGCTATCACAATGTAACAGGACCTATAGCCAGTTAAGACAACAGAAACACAGAAAATAAGCCGCAAAACTGTTTCTGGATGAAACGGCAATGTTTATACTGGTCATGCTACCAAATAATTGTGCAATGTTTGCATATGGAAAATTTTTGTACGAAATGGGTGGTATGGCCACGAAAGTATAGATAACTAAGTGGAAGTGAAAATTTTGTATATAGAACAAAAAGTACAATCAACCACGTTTTGGCAATATGGCGCACCAAGTGTTTTTTTTTAAATTCCGGTAAATTGTTTTCACAAAAGCCCAAAAAATGGAGTAAGGTGTTTTAACATGAATTTTAATTTGTTCATTTGACTGTGTATTTCCCGGAAGTAACTTTTTCGCGCTATTAGGGGTTTTTCACCAGGTGGTACGATTTATTTTCAATAAATCATGCCATTTTATTGTAGTTTCGCCTACCATAGCGTTTAGGGAGAGGTCAGAGGGTGAAACGAGGAAATCAGAGCTTTCTTTATTTTTGTCTTGCTCACGAGGCACTCACACTACGACACAACTTTAAAAATCAAACCATTTCGAAAGTGCAGGGAGCTTGGTGGCTCTACTGACGTGAAAGTCATCGAATACTGGCCACGGTGGCCCCATTTATAGCGGGCAATACTGACGTGAAATTCATCGAATACTGGTCACGGTGGCCCCATTCGGAGGCTGTAGGATCATGTACTTATACTTGGGTGAACGTCAATGTAGCCCAGATGCTCGAAATTTGGGCAGTGCTCCACGACAGCGTTCTTTATATCATATCGTTGTTGTGGAGCGTAACACTGCGCCAGAACTTTGAAAATCGAACCGTTTCGGAAGTGTAGGGTGTAGTGTCACTACTGACCTAAAAGTCATCGAATACTGGTCACGGCGCTTCATTTATAGCAAAGGCAAGAGGCTCGTGTACTTATACTTGGGTGAACGTTAATGTAGCCTGGGTGGTCGAAACTTCCGCAGTGCTGCACGACAGCGTCCTTTATATCATATCGTCGTTGTGGAGCATAAAACACCGAGTTATTATTTTTACTATTAAAACTCTCCAGCTGTTAGCGTACTCACCGGTTCGACCTAACGCCACGTGTAGAACGAGGGCAAACACGGCCACCCTGAGAAACTTCATTGTTCTTGTTACTTGCCAGAAGCGACGTCCAATGTTGTCGCCTTGGCAAGAAAGAGTAAAGTGGCCGGACCTCTTTATAAACCCGATGACCTTTATGGTCCGCTACACAGCTTGCGTTAAGTGGAACCGGCAAGAAAATTTCGCGAAAAGCTCTATTGCACAAGTGTATTTTTTATATACACAATGCGCCTGACTTTCTAGAGTTTTCTAATGTTCTTTAACTCAAACAATAGTTTTAAATGGAACACATAGTCCTCCATTGTTTAGCATGAGCTAGCTCGTTCCCCGCACGTGGTGGATGACTAATCGAAGTTTTGGGTGTCGCGCCGTCGGCTTCATTGTTCCAAAGTTTTACAGCGAGAAGACTACAGCCTAAAACATATAGTATCGCTCTTCTTAGCGGCCCCAGCCATTTATAACCACCTGCCAAAGCAGGTTACCCAAAGCTACAATACTAAACATAGGCGACGAGGAAGAGAAACCAACCATATTAACCGAAACCAACAATGCCTCAACCATTTCTTGTGTAACTATTCCTTCAGTAATACAAACCAATGAAGCGTGCTCGAATGCATTTAATGTGCTTTAGGACGGAGAAAAGAACGCAGATACATTCATTCAACGGACATATTTGCTGTGTTTCGTACGAGTCCACAGAAACAACTAAATATGCAGACGGAATTTGTACTAATAGGTGTGTTGCATTGATGAAGTTTAACCACTAATTGTACGAATATTCGGTGCTAAAACATAAAATGTAACTTAACGGCAGCAACGCAACGCCGGCACACAATGCTGTACCAGGTAGGACTGCTGGGTTTCTAAGAACATTTACATGGTTGTGTAGATTATGCTAGTGCTGCAGAAATGTGCGCTCACAAGAAAAAAGTAAAACAAGTCTTCTTTAGTTATTTTAAGTGAGACCGATGTTTGAACGGGAACAGAAAAGAAGGCTTGCAATGATGAAAACCTATAGCACGAAATTTCAGATGACCCAGCGTTATGACAAGAGGACGTATATAGTCAGTAAGTTACCACTTCCCAATGCGAAAAGCAGCACTCCTGCAGAGCAAAGTTGCTTGGTTATCTAGAAAGTGTGCATTGATGTGTGTATGAGAAAGTGCGAATTCGTGATATGTGATGCGTGTAAGATGTGGGCATGTGTAATGTGTGTATTATGTTTGATGTGTAGAAAGTGCGATGCGAGCATGTCAAAGTGTGTCTTGTATGCAGCTCAGTAAGGCGCCATGTGTAGAAGGTACCTCACTCATCATAACAGAGCCTGAGGTTTTCTGTCACCTCACGGGCTTCGTGAACGGCTTGAAGTTGTTTTTGTAGCAGGTCCAGAGACATGGGCGGGTTAGGGGAGGGGGGGGGGGTAGAGCGTTAGAAAATTTTGGTAAGGGAATCACGCCCTTTTATGTGTAAGAGTAAATCAATGAAGGCAGGAGCAACTTTACAAGCGAAGCTCTTTATGGTCTAAGGCCGTCTATCCCTCTGGGGTAGCCAGCACAGCGCATTCACACATACATACATACATACATACATACATACATACATACATACATACATACATACATACATACATACATACATACATACATACATACATACATACATACATACATACATACATACATACATACATACATACATACATACATAATTTGGCGATAGTTTCACTATTAATCACACTTGAATAAATTTGCTTGAAGTAAAAGAGCGTGAAATTTCGAAGAAAATGATGTATGGATTATTTGAATATTCATTCTAACTATTCAGAAAACGGTACTTCGCCCCGCCGTGGTGGTCTAGTGGCTAAGGTACTCGGCTGCTGACCCGCAGGACGCGGGTTCGAATCCCGGCTGCGGCGGCTGCATTTCCGATGGAGGCGGAAATGTTGTAGGCCCGTGTGCTCAGATTTGGGTGCACGTTAAAGAACCCCAGGTGGTCTAAATTTCCAGAGCCCTCCACTACGGCGTCTCTCATAATCATATAGTGGTTTTGGGACGTTAAACCCCACATATCAATCAATCAGAAAACGGTACTTCGCTATTACGAAAAATGTTTAAAAAAACTAGGCGTCATAAATCGTGAATTGCACAAATATGGCTGATATCAAGCGGCCACACATAAGAAAGCGCTGAGGCGTAGTTGATGATTATTGTCAGTGAAAGCATATACACGATGTTGTGCTGCGAAGCTGCACGTGACACCTTATGAATGCGTAGTGGGTGATTTGCCAATTCTCAAAAGCAAAAAAAAAAATATGGCGTTGTGGGAACTTCGCAAGTGCACTTGAAATACGCATTTTAGCATACTTTCCAGCAGGTAATGCTACGCGCACTAACGTACCTTTTTCTCTTTTTTTGTGGCATGATTGGAAGAAACAGTGTGTGTGTGAGTGTGTGTGTGTGTGTGTGTGTTATCAGTTATAGTTCATTGATTTCTATATGTATACTGCACCGTCTCAAGATATCACTATGCTGTCCAGTTATCAGGGTTATGTTACGAAAGAGGCAAATATATTTTTTGTAAAGAGAAAATGCTACTGTGCAAGCTTTCGGCTGTTACATCTGAGTTGGTGCTTTGTGGTATTCAGAGATGACAGTCACTGTCGTTCTAGCAGAGTTGGCCCTTTGAATTACCAGCTGCTAGGTACACATGCAGTAACCAATTTTACAAGTAATTACTCTCCCGAGGTTGGTAAATACTACTAACTTTTACAAGAGGGAAAGTCACTCTAGGTACGTCCCATGTGCCTACTAGTGTTTAGTGGGCACATGTGACGCTGCAGTATTTTTTTTAAATCAGACACATTCATTTCTTGGTTCCACTACTTATGTTCCTTCTTGTATTTCAATTTTTGCGTTAATAAGTGTCAGACATATGTTGGCGTGAGCTACGTTATTTTTTGCAGCCACACGTTAGCGCTATTGTGTGACCTTCGCCCGATGGGATTGCATTTGCGAGAGCATAATTGTTCTTAGAGCCGAGCTTGTATAAAGGTATTGACATGACAATACGTAGTCATACCTATGTCATTAAAATAATTTGAATATTCTTCCACAAATTTTCATATTCGTTTATACCAAATACCCTGACATTCGAAAGACTCGCGGGCGCTGTTTTAGAGATCAGCACGTGTGGGTTCGACAACGTGTTGCCACGCGTTGTGTGTATGCGAGTGTGTTGAATTGCCTTTTTTTTCAGACGAGAAAGTGTATTTTTGAAGCATACTGTGAAAAGGTGCTTGTACACGCTAAACCGATGGACTAAAACGCAAATTTTCAGTCATTAAATACAAGAGTCTTTTCTCTCTGAAAAATCGTGCCCATAAAAAAAACGAAAATGAGAGCACTAGGCACTTACTTTGAGAAGCACAGGCCCCCGCCGCCGATAATCCGGTCATCAGCGAAATCTAATGCAGCTGACACACATCTCGGCATTCCAGAGCTGTCCCTTGTGCTCGGGTTAGGTTCAGAATAAGCTTTGCTAGCCACGTCGTGCGCGCGATATTATTTGAGCAGTCTAAAGCAGTCGGGAAGTTTTGCGATCAGGTGTGTGGCTTGGGCCATGCGTGGTAACATGAGAAATAATTTTTGTATGAAGCACGCTCACACAAAAATAAACACGCATTACACTCTACAAATCGAGACGCACCCGTAGACTGTGTTCGGAGTTGCGGCTATCCCCGACTCTTCTTCTCTCTCTTCACCCTTGACGCACATGATTGTAGGTCAACGGAATTGTGATGCTCACTGTCCGACGGCTCTCGATGAAAGTGGTGCGCACAGTTGCAGTCATCGCGAAACTTGGCGTGACCGCAAAGAACAGTGACAAGACCCAAGGAAAACACCATGCAGGGCTCAGACGTGCATTCCCGTTTCCATAACAACGCGGCAGCTTTAAAGAGCTCGTTTCACAGGAATTACGCTGTTGACACTGGCGTCGTTTGTAGTGAAGGAAAATTTCATGTAAATTCCAATAATAAATACTAAAATTCGATCGCCTTTAAAAGTTAACCCAGGACTTCTTAGTGGCATGTAGAAATTCTTCCACTGAGGTCTAGTCAATGAAACTGTTTAGGGGAAAAGAATCCTACGTGAATATTTTGTGTTACGAGGTTAACACGCATAAAAATACGTGGTTATAGAGCCGCGCCACCAGTCCAAACATGTGGATTGCGTGACGACTTGGTGGTGTCAAAGCCCGCTCATTACAAAGTGCTCTGGTATAATGAATGATCATGATTAGTAGCAACCGCATGAATGAAGAGGGCAACTGCGTGGTGCGTATGTGGCTTTACGGATGATTAATGCGTACATTGGCAATTCGAAGAAGAAGAATCGATCATGGTGCAGTGGAAACTTCGAAGCAGTCCTTGCAGCAGTGTTGCCAAACGTAGGGTAATTGCTCATTCTGTAGTGTACTTCCGAAAATTTCTGGGGAACATGGGGTATTATGGTGTTATTACGATTTTCGTATCGACCGTTGGGAAATTTTCATTTGTCACTTGTCATTGAACAGTGAATAAATTCAGACGATTGACGCAACATCTCGAAGGGGGACATTGATAAAGAGATCCCTGAACTAAACATTTTTTTTTCATTAAAATTGATGCCATGTTAATTCACTATGTCCCCAGCATAGGTGGTTGTTAATTTCCCTTCCTTCACTTCTTGAATTATCGTAAGATGCATTCTTTCTATTTGCATCTTTACTATTTTGCTAGTTACTCTGAGCGAGTTTACTTTCCATCGCTGCTATCCGATAAGTCTTCCTTGCCTATCAAAGTATTCACTTAACGCCCTTGGTGGCCATATCACTTACACTGACACCTATATATACCTCCTCATGTATCGCGTTGTTTTTTTCTGAACTATTAATCGTAGCTCTTTTCATAAAAATATCGGAACCCTTTCTCCTCTCATCTGCTGTCTTTCAAATTTCTTAGTCCATCCACAAAACAAATATTCAAAGTGTCGTTGAAAGCTGCTGGAGACTTCAGCGCCACCACCCACGTTTTTGCCGTACAGTGAAATAGTTTTTACCCTATTTGTCTTACAATTGTATGTTGTGTAGTAAAATAAAATGTCAGGTAATAAGAGAAAT